GCGGAAATTACGGGCAATCTGTCGAAGATTTCTGGTGAAGTAGAAAGCACGTGAATCTTACTGTTCAATCACCGCTCTCCATATGCACCATCAACTCCTCGGGTACCACATATAACTTTGTCAAAGATCTCTGACAAAGTTTAGGCACGAGAATTTCGAAGTTCCAGCTACCCTACTATTACCCATAAGGGTAAAGGAACAGCACCACTGCTTGACAACTGGAAAGTCCCTATGTGTGTCGACCTCCGTGTTTTGCGGCAAGACAGGTTGGCAAGAACGTCCAACCTTTACTCACATTCGAGAGAAAAGACTCCCAACATAATTACTTTCTCAAAAACCGGAGTAGCACCGCTTTCCGAATCTCGAGAGTCAGATCCTCGACGGGATTGCTTGTTCGAAAACCGAAGAGGCACAACTCTCAGAACTTCGAGAGCCAGATTTCCTTAGATAAAGCTTGTCTGTAATCTTCACACGTAATATCAGCTTTCCAGATACCACATACCACTTTTTCAAAGTGCTCTGACAAAATTAAAACACGTGAAGCTGGCAGCTCCCACTACATTGCTGTGACCAAGAAGGGTAAAGGAATAGCATTACTACTTGTTATTGGGAAATCCCTATATACATTGACCTCCCTCCTCAACGGACAGGCAAACCTGCAAAAATGCTCAACCCTTTCTCGCATTCGAAAAGGCACCCTCAACATAACCTCTCGAAATACTCAGCTTTATTTCCCCCCGATAATACCTCAGCAAATAAGCCACACCAAGAACAAGAGTATCTCATATCATCAGGGTCGAAAGCAAGAGTATCCCATATCATGCTTTCTCCCTGTCTTTGTCTTTGTCCTTGTCCACACCTGCAGGACAAGGAGAAAGAGAGCAGTCAGTCGGAACCTGAAATCAAACCTCCAATTTGGAACTGACTGCCTGGAGCCTTTGCCTGGTTGCTTACTTAGCATTGCTCTCGAGTACTCATCCTCAACTGCTGTCAAGGTCACGAATTCCACCGGCAAATACCTCATGACAGTTGATCAGATATTGGCTCTTTACACTGAAGCTGCCAAGCGTGGATGAGTCACTATGAAGGAATGTTCTGAAGGACCATTTAAATGCAAAGGTTGCACACCACTTCTGCCATGCAAAAGATTGAAGCAGAAGGTTCAACGGTGAGCTGAAACAGATCACTACAGCACGACACCTTTCCATACCACATTCATTATTCCGTCAACAGCAAAAGTATCCCATATCATCAAGGTCGAACGTACTCTAGATTTGATGGACTTGTTTTGACCCTCAAATTTTTGAGTCGGCCTTATACTCTGAAGGGCACCAGAAAACCCTCCAGCACAGTTCAAGAATAAGCCTGTGGAAAGTTACTTCTTCAAAAGCAAAAGTATCTCATATCATCTCTTATCCATTTGCTTCTCCTTATCCTGGCAGTTGAATGAGAGACAAGGAGAAGGAGAACAATCAACCGGAAGCCGAAGTCAAACCTCTGATCCTGGGTTGCTTACTTGGAAGTTTGACTGCTTACCTTGTCTGTCACCTCTTTCGGCAGATCTCCTAGCTCGGCGACTTGGGGGACTCCTACTATAGGGTTTGTATCACACTTGACTAAGCCCGAAACTACAACTAAGCTTCAAGTGAAATTGATACATTACCTTGTGCGTCAACATCAGCTAAAGTACACCATTCCCGGATGGAGGAAAGGTACTTCCAGAGAAGGGCAGATGAAGATCAGACCACACTTCGGTACTTAGAAGTTTCGTGATTACTCAAGGGATTGGATCTTGCAAGTCCCCAACCGAGGAGTTTCCCTCACTCGGGAACTTAGGGGAGCACTGTTTGTACCATACTTGACCAATCCCGAAACTACCGAGCACCGGCCAACGCTATACTGTCAAGGACCCAGAAGAGTTCCCCTCCGACCAGGAGGCCAATCACTACTCGACACGTGTCAAGATTAGAAGCCAATCAGAGCGCAGCACGTGTCGACATCAAGAACCAATCATAACATGACACATGTCAATGTGACAAAGCTACAAGTTTTTCTATAAATAGGGGTCATTCCCCCACAATATTGCCTAATGCCATTTTGTGTTAAATCATTCACAAGAACTCACTAAATTGAGAGCTTGATCCTTTGTACTTGTGTAAGCCCTTCACTACTAATAAGAACTCCTCTACTCCGTGGACGTAGCCAATCTGGGTGAACCACGTACATCCTGTGTTTGCTTCTCTGTCTCTATTCATTTACGTACTTATCCTCACTAGTGACCGAAGCAACCAAGCGAAGGTCACAAAACCTGACACTTTCTGTTGTACCAAAGTCTTCGCTGATTTTGTGCATCAACAGAATAAAATTTCTTGAAATTTACAAAATGTTAATTTCTGATTTAATTTAATTTTTAAAACAAGAATGGTGGATGACAATCGAGGCAGATTGCAGCTTTTCAAGATTCCGGATTTGCAATCATTGCAGTTTATGTCGATGACATGAACCACATTGGGACTGCCGCAGAGATTGAGGAAATTGCTACACACTTGAAATCAGAATTTGAGGTAAAGGATCTTAGAAAACTCGATATTGCCTCGGCCTGGAAATCGAGCATTGTTCGGATGGAATCCTAGTACATCAATCGAACTACACCCAAAAGGTGTTATGACGTTTTAATGAAGATAAAGCGAAGCCTTCGAGTACACGTATGGTTGTTCAAACTCTAGATGCTAAACGAGATCCCTTCAGTCCAAAGGAGGATGAGGAAGAGATTTTGGAACCCGAAGTTCCTCACTTAAGTGCAATTGGGGCTTTATTGTACTTGACTCAATGCATTAGAGCTGACATCTCATTCTCTGTGAATCTATTGGCTAGATACAACAATGCACCCAAATGCAGGCACTGGAATGGTGTTAAAGACATTTTTCGCTACCTCAAAGGTACTACGAATTTGGGTTTGTTCTATACTCGCTAATCTCCAAGTGTTGTCGCCCTCTATGGCCCTCGGAATGATTCTCGCCTTGTTGGTTATGCAGATGCTGGATATCTGTTTAACCCACATATAGCACGTTCTCAACAGGTTATGTCTTTACCGTTGGAGACACCGCTATATCTTGGAAGTCTACCAAGAAAACGCAAGTTGCGACTTCGTCTAACCATGCTGAGATTCTCGCCCTACATGAAGCATCGCGTGAGTGCTTTTGGCTAAGAGAAGTTATGGAACATATTCGAAGCACTAGTGGTCTTACATCAGTCGTTGACCTTCCTACGATGATCTTTGAAGACAATGCAGCATGTATCGAGCAGCTGAAGAAGGGATACATCAAAAGAGACAACACCAAGCACATATTATGAAAGTTCTTTTAATCACACCAGCAACAACAACATCAGAACATTGAAGTCAAGCAAATCCGTTCCCAGGACAACCTGGCCGATCTCTTTACCAAGTTATTGCCCAAGTCTACATTTCAGAAACCCATCCAAGGAATCGATATGCGTAAATTATCTAAGTTGCATCGTTTGTAGTTCTCTTATTTAGAAGTTATGTCTAACTTAAGGAGAGTATCTAGAAGCATACTCACATGATCTTACTGTACTATTTTCCCTACGATTAGAAGCATTTTTTCCACTGGGTTTTGCTACCTAACGAGGTTTTAATGAGGCACCCATCATGGGATGATCATACTTCTCACTCTTCTCCTTAGTCTATGGGTTTTCCCCATGCATTGGGTTTTACCATAACGAGGTTTTGTGAGTTTTACTACAAATGCATACTTCACTTAAATTTGAGACTCGCGATCACCCGTTGTGCCGATGACTTCATCAACTATTCTACCTTATCTGCTGAAGATCTGATGGGATGATTTGTTGAGTATTTACACACTTAAGGGGGAGTGTTGCAGTCATATTTAGAATAGGAATGTGATTGTGTAAATCCTAGGGAATATGGGAAAATATCTTATATTCCTATTAAGATTAGATTATCTATTAAATATTGTAATTCTAAAGGGAAAGGTTTTACCCTTCCTACTACTATAAATAAAGGCACAATGGGGTGAATCAAACACACCTCACAATTAAATCAATCTCTCTTCTCTCTCAATATTGCCGAACCCCTATCTCTCTCTCTAAACCTTAAATCTTTCAATCAAATAGGCCTACAACAAAAATGATATTATTTCTTTTGTTTTGTGGGTTTTAATGACTAAAAAGGAAAGGCACGGAGGGTTTAACAAATTAACTTCAATTGTTTGTCTCCTGCCTTTAGCTTTCCTCAAATTAGCTTCCGGTATTTCAAGAGTTTGTTGAGCTTCTTATGGATCAATGTCACTATCCTTTTTTGCATCATCTACTAAAATTTAGCCCTTCCTCTTTTTGACGTCAAAAGCTTCACCAAATTATATGGACGAAACAAACATGAACAAAAAGAAAACTACGTGTCGTTTTTTATATTTGCCAGAAATTTTACGAAAGCACTTTGTGGCCAGTGTCAAGCCAAACCTTGAGTAGATATTGGTCACACTTTTCGGGTGTGCAGACACTTCACGGTCTTTACCCCCAAAAAAAATTTACTTTTTTACATGCGAGATTGTTAATTAGTTTAATTTTTTCATGTTCTTATATCGTTTTGTTGGTTATTTCACAAACGATAAAATTATTTGCCATCGAACAAAAAAGAGTGAGTAAAGGAGAATATGAGAAAAGTAATGAAATTGAGTTGTTTCCAAACTGTGTTTGTATTATGTTGTTTTTTTATTTAGAAAAAGAGGACTAGTTGGTGGCTTCACCACGGTAATCATTCATTTCGGAAGTCGGGAAGACTCACAAAGACATTTTAGCCTCTCTTTGGCCACCTTCGCATGATTAACTAACACAAAAAATCGAACTCATAATGCATCATGTGAAAGTAACTTATATATTATTAGTTGATAATGCTCTAAAAAATATAAGAAAGAAATGAGAAAGGACTCCAGAAACCTTAAAAATAAGGTGGACTGGATTTAAGTTTTATTAATTTGGACTCGAACAAAGGACTTCAGTTCCTTAATAGTCCTCCAAAGATTTTCGAACACAATGATCTCATAGTTGATTGGGCCGCTAAAGATCTTGGAAGAATTGAGAACCGAAATGACAAGCTTGTAATTGGTTCCCTCCACTATTTGGAACTGTCCATGAACCAACTTTTGCAACACTAGTTTTTGGTCATGAATCTTGTTGTACTTGGAAATGGCGAACTCTGCGATCTCCCTCAAACGTGGGTCGTTCAGGTTGTCAAAGGGGAAATACCCACCCCTTAGAGGAGGGTACTTGGGAGGGTAAAGGTGCTCTTCTCCTCCTCCTACTCCAAACGCGGTGATAGCAACGAAAAGATACAACAAGGCGGTGAGGACTAGGAGGAGGCAATTAGGACAATATATGCTCATTGTTAGTATCTTGTTTGTCTTGAGAAATAAAGAGAAAAGTGAGAGAGAAACAGATGTCACATTAACTTGGAATGCAAACTACTTTTATAGCGATTAACAATTAAATTGGAGGGCAAAAAGAAGTCCGTTTTTGTCATAAGAAAAACACAAAGAAAAGAAACGCTACACCATAATTAAGAGGTGAGCAAAAACTCACCTAAAAATGAAAATTAATTTCAAATAATAATGATATCGTAACTACTTGTTTAAAATCAGGTTTTCTAATTAATTGCCTTCTTGAGTATATTTACGAATCTCACTAATTGGGCAACGTATATAGTGATTTTTATTTCTTTCAAATGTTTCCAAATCATTTTTTTTTCTTTTGTTTTGACGTACGTGGTTGAACTCTGAGCACCAGCCACCAGGGTGTCTAAAGTCTTGAAGAAGAGTCTTTGATGGAGATCGTACTCAATCAAATTAACCAAAATTCCAAGAGACCAAATTATTTAACGTAGTTATAAAGTCCATTCTGGTGGAGACACCTTGAGGGTCACTCCAAGCAGAACCAGTTCGCGTTTGTGAATTATTTCTCGATCGTATATTGAATGTAGCCTATAAACATCACGTCTTGAATTTTGTAATGAAGCACAGGTCATCACATATTTGACAAATTAAGCAACCAAATTCTGTTCGAAGTGGGTCATGACTCAGTAATATCATTTGTTTGAATATGTATGGTGTTCCCATCAGTTCCCCTCATGGCCTGTCAAAATATCTACCATTTAAGTTCTTGCATATGAGTAATCTGATTCGGCAACCAATTAATTAGCTGCTTCTAATCAATTATTTGGATCAAGTATTTCCAGATAGAGTAAGAGCATAGAGAAAGAAAGATTAGTTTGTAAAAAAGTAAGCGTTAGCTGAACAAAACCATCCAGGAGTTGTAACGTATATGTGAGTTATAAGCTAGTTTGTTAGAACTATATATTCATTTTTTTTGTACTTAGAATTCTTCTTCTTGTAATTTTGAATAATTTAGAAAATCGTATAAAACATGAAGAATAATGGCAATGGTTAACAATTGCATATATAAAATTAAAGTTAGGTAGCAGCTGAATAAACTATTTCTGGCTTTAGACTTTACCCAAGATAAAAGGATATTGTTTATTACGTAATCATGTTTGAAAACTAAACTGCTTAGATAATGATAAGACGATATCGATCAGTCGAGATTATAAAAGTTCATTAGTCATCCATGTGATGCATGGGATGGGATCCATCATCCACCATTGGCCTTTACATGAAGATAACGAAAAGGAAATTGGGTGTGTTACTTTTTAATATAAATTTCCTTTCAACCACACTAATACAAGAAAAGTTAACAACAGTTACCAAAATTAGTAGTTATTTTATTGTTGGTGCTAGTGCAATAACGAGGTTGCGAATGAAAATAATTGGTGAAAAGTGACCACACCACAATGTCACTAGTACATTATAATTTGTTTTTTTTAACTTTTTGCTATTTTTTTTCTCGTTGATAACAACGTTGTTACCAAGCACTCAAGCAGCAACAACTAAATAACTACTCATCTTTGTTATTGTTCACTTTTCTTGTAGTGCAAAGAGGTTCAAGATGGCGGAAAAGAAGTGAGAAATGAGAACTTTTATATATCTTCTACAAATACAAATAATATGTGTGTAGCCAAACTAATACAAAGTTGGGAATCTACTATACAAAGAAGGGATTCGGAATCTAAATATACAAGCATCGATCGCATGCATGCAACGCGCAATTATTGACCTTATACGCTTAGAAGAAAGATTATATATATCTTGTACAAGTACATTGCAAAAGCAAACTCACGCAGTACCGTACCGTACTAAAAACTTTCATTTCATCGAGTGGGCGCCGGCTGTTCATAAACCATTATAGTAACCACCATATGTGACATGAGCTCTAGGGAGGGGTACTCCTCTAGCTGCTGAAAATGCTTCATTCAATTTGGTTGGACGTTCCATAGCCTGATTAAACCTCTGCAAACATCCAAAAATTAACAAAAGTGGGATTAAATTATTATTGGTTCAACTCTAGTACAATTGACAATCCTAAAATGGGGCAAATAAACCTACAACAATGCATTTTGACGCCACACGGAAGATATTATTGTGCATGGTTGAAACATCATGTTGGGTTCGGTAATTTGTAACCAGTCACCATCTTGTTTATATTATATAACTCAGGTCAAGTTTAATGTTTAATGACTAACTGGACATGTTAACGTGTATTAGAAAACTAATCAGATTTGATAAAGAAAATTAATCAAACAAATTTTAATAAGACAATGTTTTGGACGAGTGCCAATTTTTAATTAACTAAAAAGAAAGAGAAAAAGAAAACAAATTAAGAAATTAAAATAGCACTTATGTAATTAATTGGACTAATTATGTAGCTAAGAGCTAGAAGAAAAATTAAATTTGCTAACCTTGTTGTCATCAGTATAGATCTGGAAGCGATTCTGGTTGTGCTGATACTGTTTGTTCCTCTGATGGGCACCGAAAAAGATAATACAAATGGTAGCAGCAGCAAAACCAAAAGAGCAAATCGCACCGATTCCTGTAAAACTCAGCTTCCAGATGTTGTTGCTGTTGTTGTTGTTGTTGCTGTTATTGATCTCTTTGGTATCTTCTGATGACTCCAACAAGCTGTTTTGGTCAACAACTTTCGTCCTTGGAGAGGTGATTTCTTGACCTAAATTTTCATCAAACTGAAACTTATCAGTTTGTTGATGCATAAACTTGGGTGATTTGCAGGTGGGAGACTTTGGGGAGTCCAATATTTTCATGTCGGCAAATTCATTTTCCCAAGTTTTCTTGAAGTAAACTTGGGACAGTTGTGTGTCTTGATCCACTTGGGAGACTTTGATTACTTGTTTTTCTTCTTGTTCTTCTTGTGGGAGTGATGAGGCCTTGCAAAAGCTTGGAGGTAGTTCCAGTTGAATTGGAACAGGAACAAGCCTTGAATCAATCCCAGCTGGCGACGCCGATGGCGGTGGTGTTGGCGGTTGTGGTGGTGGTGTCTCGTGAATGACTTTTGACCTAGAACTGGGTGATGGGATTATGAAGTAGTTCATGTTGAAAACACTTTTTGAATTATCAGAAGAGTTGTATCGCTTGCTTGAGAAAATCCTCTTGTCCGCACTCTCTTCATGGAAATCAAGAAACGCATCGTCAGGGAGGTATTCCCACTCATCAAGATCCATCTCGTTTCCAAACAAGAACAAAAAAAGAAATATTTTGTGATCAATGAATTTAGACGATCAAAAAAGGAGAAGGGTGTTTCATCTATATAAAATAAAATCGGGAAATATTTTTCAAAGTTGGGTACTGGAAATGTTGAATAATAATTGAATCAAAGAAGGTGGCTTTCATGGAGTTTTGTGGGGAGATTCTAACTGTACATGGGATGGATTGTGTCTTGTTGCCCTTGGAGTGAAAGATTCATCCACCATTCAGCAAGCAAGATATCTAACACGGTTTGAATGAAGGGCGTGCTTATCCTTTCTAATAGTGACAAAGAGAAGGATGCATGGTGCTCCTAAAGGGGACCCACCAGAGAGAGAAAGCAAGGTTTGCCTTGCCAGATGGGTTCGGTTTATATTTCTTTTCAATTGTTAATGGCTTTATTTTAAGTGTAAAGTTTGATTACTATTGTGTAACTTGGGTTAGAGGTTAATTAATGTTCAAGGACCAAAGGTTCTTTCTTTTGATCCTCCCTCCATGTGAAAGTTGCACACTTTCTGCTCAAGAGAAAGGAAATTAGAACTGTCGGTTGCTTGTTTGAGTTTGCTTTGGATGACAATGATGCAAAAGCAAAAAGTTAAAAAACACCAAGCAAAGGGAGGGCCGTACAACTGTCCATCTGATGGAATCTTTATTATTGGTTTCTTTTCTTTCTTAAGAAATGTTGAGGAGACTCTTTCAAAGTGAAATTGTTTTTGAATCAATGAAGAACGATCGAGTTTTACCATGTTCAGAATCTTCTTCTGGCTAGGTGTGGTGGGTTAACTTGTCGGCACGGTAAGCATGCTTCATGTGATGACGGTAATTCTTATTTACACTTCTGAGTTGTTTTAGAGTTGTGGTTGATATTGCTCATGTAAACCGGAGAATACTATTCGATATTATTCACACGATGCAAGGCCTCAAATTTCTTATTGTACCAATTAGGATTAGGTTAAGAGCTTTAATCGAAGAATGCGAGACTTGGCGACGTTTCCGTTGAGAATGATTCTGAATATGTCGAAGAATTTGAATATTATCATAATTTTACAACTCAACAGACTTGGGCATTAAGGAAATTTGTTCTTACAAATACAAGAGGATTTGCAATGAGAAAAACCCCCTTCAACCCAACAAATAACTCAAATTCTCAACGTGAAAACCCTTGCTCTACACTAAACCCTTCTCACACCTCAGTCAACTCATTTTCAGTTTGGATGAGTAAACAACAATGGTGCTGTAGAATCAAGCAACATAGGAGCACATTCAGTTTGGATAAGTAAACAATACTACTTCTGGATTGGTTGATTATCTTCCAAGTCTTGGTTGACGAAGAATTCTTAATTTCGCCCAAAGAAGTCACTTCATTAGCTTCCCATTGAAGTGGAGTGCTCTATGACTGGTTAATCTTATGTGCATTTGCAGTTCGACATTCACACGACTTAACCACATTCACCATTAAAACGCTTCTCCCCTTTGATTACCTTTGTCATTACAGCTTGATATCAGTTCAACGCACGCTGAACTCGATGCAGACAATCTTGACCTTCATAGTTAATTAGACAACCTAGCCACCTTCTGGTTCTAGAACAAGGCTAAGACGCGTTCCTTCCTCAACCGTAGTTGCTCAAGTGCATAAGTCAACAACAAATCCGACACCACTACCACACTATTCTACTCGTCCAACCGAGCTCGGTTGCGAATTGGCACGCCGGCACTCACCAAAAAGACATTAGGTCATAGTTAACAGCTGCAAACGTAACGTCGTGGCGGAGACGGTCAATGATGAAGCAGAGTTCTTTGTGTGGGCAAGTCGTTCGATATGGAATGTGATGTTTAACCAACACGTCGTGGATTACATTAGGCAAATTAAGAATGCCCAAAAAATGCAGAGCTCCTTACTCAACAAGCACTCAATATGCCCAACTATTATCTGGAACATGATAATTAGTGAAAGCAAGATTATGGTCATGAACAATGAAACTTGTATAACCCCATACAGGTTCCGTCAGATGACGATTAATTTACAAACAGAAAGCTATTCTCAAATTTACAATGCTTGTTTGTTTTCACCAAAAAAAACTCAAACTCAAAGGAGGACAGCTTCAGCTATCATCACTACCAGTAAAAATAAGAGGAAAAGAAAGAGAGAGGACTACCTGCCCCGAGAGCATCACAGCAGATTATGATCGATGATACACGTTAGTTGGAGATTTATACGCAAGTTTGTCTTGTGCAAGATTTTAAGTACTGCATTTAAGATGACATGACAATGACGATGATCGAGCAGATGAAGATTCGCCCAAGGAGACAGAAGTTAGGGAAGAAGCCCAAACCCTGGCGTTCTTTGCTCCCTCGTGGAAGTTCCTCGTCTTGCATAATCTCAGCTTGGTCCAAATCCTCCTAACGTCAACCATGGGGAGGATACGCCCCATAATTTGACTCGTCTCCCCAAATATTCCCAAGTTAAAATGGGGAACGTATAGGACCCAGAAAGCTTGGAGGCGAGTCAATACCTTTGGGAATGTATACAGAATCACCCTCAAACAGAGAAACAATATGGCAAAAGCTAAGTAGGGTTCCCTCCTTGATATCTCCCTGAGTGACATGTTACTCATTGACTGGATTAAAGATTTTTCACGAATGTTTAAGCTGACTATTTGATCGCCATCAAAATATTGAACTGGTTTAAGTCCTGAAAGACACAAGGCATCAAGAACACATGCGGTAACAAATAGTGCAAAAAGTGGAAGAAGGAAAAGAATACAATAGGTAAGCTTCCTACTGCACGTGCATAAATATTATTCAATTTAAGAAAATTTTACCTGTGGTTTTCTGGTAAAACTGTGCAAGCAAGGAGAGACTTTTTGGACCATGATAACGCACCCTTGATGTCTGATTGACTATTAAAATCGAAGGGAAGCTATGTATTCCATATCTTGAGAACACACTGCAATACAACACAGCAAAGGCAGGTAAGGCAGCATGACGATGTAGCTAATGTTTTCAAAGAACAGATAATATTGTAACTTTCTTGCATCCCATAAATATCTTACGGTAAATATCTCCTCCATTGCTGGAAGCGGTATAGTAATAACTATAAGAAAATGAACAAATTGCCTTCCAAGGCCATGGATATTATGCAGTTTAAACTAGAACAAATCTGTAGAATTTTCTTTGACAATTAGATTACAAAACATTATGAATGCACAGATTTTTTTTAAGAAACAAACAAAATACTCAGTAAATTTACACAGTTACACTTATATTTTCTTTTTCCTGAAATGAATGTTTGGCCTACAACATTAATAAATTAGCTTACCACATATACAAATGCAATCTTACACGAAAATTAGATAGAGGACAAAAGTACACCAAGTTAAGCTTACCTTGGCAGGGCTGAAGATTGCTCAATGGCCAAATGTTGTACTTGAGGGAACATGAAGCTGAGCTTTTCAAATGTAGGATACATTATGCGTGAAAATGGGCACCAGGAAGCATAAAAGAGCACTGCTGCATAATCAGTCCTCTGTTGCGATGCCAAAGCTCTGTCTAGGAAGTTTCCATCCACCTGCAGAAATAAAAATAATAAGCAACAACATTCAGAAGTCTCCATTTTTTACAAGGAACAAGAATGTCATGCTGTTGTATTCTTTCAAAACAATGACATACTACCATCAACTGATTATTATGACTCAATAAAATAATGTACTGGTAAAAATATGATAAAGATTGAAAAACGGATCCCCGTTGCATTTAAAAGATGGATCATTTACTGTTCAAACGGATCCCCGTTGTTTTTCCCCAAGGCACTGTATCCAAACTCTAAATTCAACTTACAAAAGCAGCAAACCTCGTTTACATCCCCTGGATCGAAAAGTAAAACATCTAACAATGAATATGCACTCCAAATTCTTAAGGTTTGCGGTTTTCATTCTAATACAGAAAACACTGTAAAGATTAATGGCACTTGCTGAGATGCATCCTTAGTCAACAACAAAATTTCTGACCATATTTCTAATAAATATTGAGTCGCTTTGGTACCTAGAATTTAGTCTTTTCCATAGATATTCAGGCACTGCTATGACCATGTGTACATAACCAGCCCCTATTTCTTCATATCACCACCACAATACTCTTTTTGGATCCCCCAAAACACTTTACTTTAGCGGAACCAGCAATCTATATCCCTATCCCTAACACCTTGTTTCAAGACTATCGTGCAGCAGTTTTCACTTAAGACTATCAACCTCTAATCAACTTTACATATTATATTTATACATCATAATCACTTTCATTGTACATAAACTTTTCAGCAATAATATAAACAATTAACAGCCAGTGTTTCACAACCTCTAAAAAATAAGATGCTCTGATAAAAGGACAACAAAGGCATTCCAAATGTACTAAAACCACTGTAAGAGAATGCACTACCCAAGTTCCTTATGTGCCACAAAATCATAAGTTACCGAGAGAGATCACCACATGACTTTAAGATTAATTTAATGTTGTAATGCTAACATTCTCACCAAATGTAGAAGCATACATGATCACAAAGTTCAACACATTAAGTTTGGTAAAATGGTCCAAACATTACGTCTAACTAAAGTAACCAACTTTCTTCTTCGCCTTTTAATTTGGGTGAACAATAAATTTAATTTTGTTTTATTTTTTTTAATGAATATACAATCTGAAAACACGAGTCCCTTATATGAAACTAGTTCTAGTTTAACCTATAGTGTGGCTGAGGATTGGTAGGTAAAAGGGGGAATGAAACAACTGCTGCATTTAATGCCAAATTAGAGAGAGTTTCGGTGCAAGGCAATAGTCTTGTTTTGATGCAACCCCAAAATGATCCTATACATACACGATGTTCATATCGTTTCTCTGTAGGATTAATCATACAATGCACCAACTTGAACCATAGCCACACACGACGACACACCCTACTTGTTGTAACTTATAACATTTGCCAAGCTTCTAGCTCCATCATGCAGCATAGCACGTTTTCCACCAAAACCCACCATTTACCTAAAACTATCTCAGCAGATTCTTCAAAGCAGCAAAACATATATGTAAGCACAAAAAATAATAGCTTACTCATACAAAGATTTACTTCATACCAAGCCTCTTCACCGGATAACGCAATACTAACACCGCACTCGTGGAGTGACTGGACAGAAACGCTATCTAATAGGCGACCTAGCACTTTGACGGAGTTATATAACTTATATTCCCTTGAAGCCAATACATATTTGTATATTTCAGTAACAAAGCTATCTCAAATGTCTATCTTAATTTTCTTTCTTTAGCTCGTTGATCACAAATTCAGAAACTTAAGGAATTTCATCATTCCAACAAAGACAAAATACATGGCATACGAAGTTTATCTGTAATCGTATTTCATCATTCTAACAAAGAAACAATGCATGGCATAACAACCATCATCTTGCAATTAAAACCTCGAAAACTGAAGAAATTGGATTCAGACATCACCAACCCATAGGAAAAAAAAGAATAAGAGATTTACAATAATCAACAAAGTCAACAACAAAAGAAACAGTAATTTAACAAATAAATGGATAATTAACGAGTTATGTAAGAAATTGGAAGGGTAAACCGTACCTTGAGGGGTGGGTGGGGGGAGATCGAGATAGGGCATTGAGATTGAAGGCCGTATCGGAAGAAATCGGAGTCGTGAGGGCATAGAACAGAAGAAGAAGAAACTAATCCTAGAGAAGTTGTCAAGGCAGCGATATACAAAAAGATTACAGATTTATCCATAGACGATGAACAACAATAACCAGTCGAAGGTGAGAGAAGGGTAAAATTGGAAAAAATGAAAATTGGGTATGAGTTTTTATGAGAAACAAAATCTGGGGTTAGAAGAAATGCAGGAAAAGATAAGGGTGCGAAATTTTGGGGTTGGAGTTGGTGGTGGTGGTGACTGGTGTTGGAATTTTACCCGCATTCCTTCTTCTAACAAAAATATCTTGGAAAAAAAAAACCAGGGAGAGGAAAGGTAGCTCTCAAAATTGAAAATTCTCTGTATCCTCCTTCCTCCACGCGGCGGCGGCCTCGTTTGTGAATAAAAATGGTGCTCAAAATTAAAACCAGACTAGTCATATAATATATTTATAAAAAAAATACGTTAGAGTCAATTACATTTTTAATAATTAAATAGAGCCAATTAAATTATTAATATCTTGATATTTATGTTTATAATTTATTTATTTTCTCTATCTTATCAATATAAGTCTTGAATATGGAAAGTCTATGAGTTTTATTTTTTTCCTCAACAAATGATGATGTTATGTACATTACGCGAGTGAGAGAATATGCTAAATCTCACAATAAAATTAACAATAATGTGGTTCAAAGTAACTTATAATCTCCTTTTTTTAGCAACTAAAAATATAAAAAATACAAGTTTTGAAATTTCTACAAAATAAAAGTTGAAAGTTCAAGAGATATTACCGTGACACTTGGGAAAAAAACCCCTTTATTAAAATTAGTTGTAAAGAGATCTGTTATTTCTTGAAATCTATCTTCGGATTCAAAATCGTAGTGTAATTTTTAAAATTAAAAAAAAAAAATAGTTATGTGTGGAGAGTGTAATTGTATTTTCATGCATTTTTTTGGTTGCAAAGAGATACTCTTAATAATAGTAAGTAAGTACTGGTTTAGTATTGAGGTTCTTTTATAAAAAGTGGATATAAAAAAAAACTGTGCTAAAAAAAGTGTTTGGTAAACACTTTAAAATAGCTTATTTTCACAGTTTTGGATGAAAAAAAAGTTGAAAACGTGAAGCAGCAAAAATGAGTTTATTCTTACAACACAATAAAATCATTTTTATTTTCGAAGAACAGCAATACCAAACCAGCGCTAAGGTCAACCTGAAATCCAATTGCGGGTAATTGAAATTGAGCCCAATACCATCTCATAAGAAAAGCCCAGCGGCCGCGTTTCTCTTCTTCTTCCTTCACTTCATACGGTGTTCTTCCGTTGTTGCTGTGCGTTGCAGACAGACAGACAGACAGACAGAGAGAAGAGAAGAGAAAGACGGAATTAGGGCTTTTGGGGAGGATGGAGTTGATAGCAGAAAAGGAGTCGAACCACAACAACAATGAGAACAACAACAACAACGTCACCAGTTACGCGCAAGCACTCTTAGACTCTCGCGATAATCATCCCAACGAATCCGATGAAGTTCGTGAACGTCATGCTCGCGACCTCAAAGCTGGCCTCCATCCTCTCAAGGTCCTCTCTCTCTCTCTCCCTCTCTCTATATATGTGTGTATGTATAGGGTTTAGATTGATTGACCAAGATTTGTTCATCTAGATAAAGTGATTTGTTCATCTAGATAAAGTTGTGGTATTTCATTAGTGAATTTCTGCTCAATGAGCTGAATTTATTATGATTAGACTGTTAATCTTCTAATTTGCGCTGAATGAGTTGGCTTGCTGCAGATTTATCTATCTTTGAGTCAGTTTATTTTGATCTCCGTCTTTTGTTCTCGTCAGTTTTGTAAACGCTACCGGGTTTCGTTGGATTCACTTTGTCTACTGTGGGTCTTTCACATGCCCAAATTGTGTTCCTCCATTTTTTGTTTGAAATGCAAGTTCCAATTGGTAATCTTTGTGTCCTTGTAGCACTTATTTTTGTTATGTTTTTATCATTAGCACAAGTTCGTATTTTGGTACACTCGCCGAACTCCAGGAATCCGGAGCCAGACATCATATGAAGACAATATAAAGAAAATAGTCGACTTCAGTACGGTATAACATCTACCTTAATTTCTGCCGGAGGTAATGTGATTGAGTCTAATCGTTTCTTTTTATTGACTTCTTGTTTCTTGGATAACATAAGGTTGAAGGTTTTTGGGTCAGTTATTGCCACCTAGCCCGACCTTCTTCTTTGCCTAGTCCAACAGACTTGCATCTTTTCAAGGATGGAATTCGCCCTCTCTGGGAGGTAAATATCTGAAACCTGACTTCCATTTTCCTCTTTCTAATCACTGGCTAGTTTTGCTTCTTATTGCTTCCCACAGAATGCAAGTGTTCAGAGATGTTGAACTTTTTAAATGACAGAACTAGTGTGAATTTTTTTGTTTTTCAGGACTCTGCTAATTGCAACGGTGGCAAATGGATAATACGATTCAAAAAGGCTGTGTCGGGCCGTTTTTGGGAGGACCTGGTAAGGATAAGAACTGGAATTTCTCTATTTGTTTTGGTCTTGTGCAATTTCCAGGCCGTACTATCAGTTGATGGTGTTATTTCATTTTTAAAATGCCAAGTTTTGAAAAAATTATCCTACTGAAAGCTTAAGTGGCTTCAGTAGGAAATTCTCACATTTTCTAAACTTTTGGAAGAGTCGTCTATTTTTCCTATACATGTTGCCTTTCTCAAGATTTATGCCTGCAATACACAGTAATCATGATTATTGGCAAATTATAGTATTCCATCTTTTGTTTTGTGTGCTACAGAATTTGTTTGAATTACCTTGTTGCATATACATTTGACATGAAGTGAAAGTTCTGTAAAAGGGAAATTGTGACTAATTTATCAAGGTTAAGGGTGTCAGTATAACTTATTATTCTGCATTGCATCTGTTTTACTATAGTTCTTTTCTTACCAACTATAGGGATGAAAAATAGATACTAAGGCTTCGTTTGGCACACTGTATAAGGCACCGGATAGTACTAATAATACAGAATACGGTGTTTGGTGTCCGTTTGTATTAAATAGCCACCAGCTTAAATAATCCGGGTCCACCAACTTTATTAGGTATACACCCACTTGCTTATACCATCCAAAACCATGGTACAATTTAGTCGGGTTCTCTTCTTCCGCTCCAGACGCTCTCTCATTCCTCTCCAGACACACGGTCCTCTCCAGACGCTCTCTCTGCTTTGCTCTCTCCAAACGAGGCCCCCCACATACCACAGGACTACCTAAGAACTTGCTTTGTCCTCCTCGCTTCGCTCCCTGCTCCATCATCTCTCACATCCTTTCCCTTCCTCCTTGCCCTGAACCCAGAATCACAAACTAACAAGACCTCAAATTTGAGTCATCGATCGCGCCTCCATCCTCCTCCATCCTCCTGGACCTTGATTTTCGATGGCAAGGGCTTTGGGCTCCGTCCTCCTCGACCTTTTGACTTGCTTCATCTCCTTGACCTTGATTTCTCAATACCATTTGCTAGGTTCTTCTAATGCCCTCTGATTACTAACTTGAAGCCCTTAAGATCCATTCCTTGTTATTGTACATGCAATGACTCTCAGCAAATTAGCAGCATCTACGGATGCTCAGAATCCCTCTTCTCTGTGGGAGCATCTTAGCCATGCGGCCATGCCCATCTCAGTAGAAGCTCAGTAGAATCCCTTTTCCCTATTCTTATCCAGTTCAGTACCAAACACAGTATAAATAATACGGTCCTTAGTCCGATATTGCACCAAACGCCCGACTAATTTAGTTAGTACTATCCGATGGCTATTTATCCTATCCGACAAAAATAGTCATTACAATCCGAGCTGCCAAATGAAGCCTAAGGGAATACATTGTAGTCCAGATTTATCAAAGTATTGGTGAAAACATATAGTAAAAGTTACAAAAATGCAGCTTTTGTAAAAATACATAAATTTTGAATGAAGCTTTAGGAGATGCTAATTAATGCACTGATTAAACTTGTAGGCTTTGTATATCCATAAATGTTGAGCTCAACAGGATCAAGAAGCCTACTTGGGTCAAGACCAAGAAGCTTTTGCTTTGCACATCACATAGGAGGACTAAGATTTTGGTGAATATTCATCAAATTTGTGGTCCTCTTTCACTGCTATGCTGGGAATTTTTTTTGCCTCAGCGTTGACATATACTGATACTTCTCTTTATTTCGGTGTCATATGGCCTAAATGTCAGTGATACCTTCGAAGAATATATCATCCACCCCATATAGTTGGTAGCACCCTAAAAAGTCTGAAATTGGAAAGATTGGCTTCACCTGGATATACACAACTAACTTCGAATCCATACAGGTTTTATTACCTGGTTTGCCAAAAAGAAACCATATGTTTTTCTTAGAGTTGCTTATCTTGGCTCGGACCTATTAAGGCGTTAAATTTACAGTTCTTGGTTGTGGAATATTAAATGGGAATTTAATTACGAATTACCACAATGGAGTTCACTTATTAGTCCAACTCTTACAAGTAATGCATTTTTTTTGTCCTTGTTGAGACCCTCTTTAGAATAGATGTTAGCCATGTAGTTACTTTCTGGATTAGGTAACTTAAAATACTACACTGCGTTCTCTATTCATTGGTACTTTGTCTCGTTGATTTTGTTGAGTAATGAAAATCTTTCTGCAATTCAAGTGATGCTTCCAATTGTTTTTTACTGATCTAAGAAGGCATATTCTGGCAGCTTCAGGTGCGGGGTCCTGTTTGGCAGGATCCCAGATCGTAAGAACAGCATTTTACACTTTTATGGCAATGGGTTGATGCTTTCAGGTTTAGGTTTTATCTCTTGGGGGTGGTTTGTCACCCAGAACCTTAGCATTAAAGCCTAAACCCTGAATCACACATGTTGGCATTTTTCTGAAGTACACTTCCTAATCTCTGGATGCTGTCTGAATGGAGCCTATAGAAGTATATACAAATGCCTGGATGTGCTTGACATATTAGTGCACATACATGTGTTTATATGAGAGTGTTTCTGTTATGGTGTTTTACTGCTAATTTAATGTGGCTTTCTCTTATGTTTTCTAAATTGAGGATATTTGGGGGTGGGGAATGGGGGTATTTGAACATAGTATATCCTCGTTAGAGGAGAGATGTGTATACTAGAACTTATTTCTGCGCCTACTTACATGTTATGCACAGGTTCTTGCCTTGGTGGGTGACCAGCTTGATTATGGAGAGAACATATGTGGTGCGGTACTAAGCATCAGATTCAATGAGGATATATTGAGTGTCTGGAACCGGAATGCTTCTGATCATCAGGTTGGTAATTTATAGCAATCTGCTGCTTGTGTGACTAGTCTTTCTGTGTGTGTGTAGTGTAATCTGTTGACCTTGCTTTTGTTGACCAGGCTGTAATGGCTTTAAGAGATGCGATCAAGCGGAACTTGAAGCTTCCACACAGCTATCTCATGGAATACAAGCCACATGATGCTTCGCTGCGCGACAATTCATCTTACAGAAACACATGGTTGAGGGGCTAGATTGATGCCACCAGATAAGAGCACTAGTTTCAGAAAAGCTTTCTGGAAGGCGATTGATGCACAAGCCACGACCAGAATCGGTAAAATTCTTGCATGGCGAAAAGGAGATGTGCAAAGTCTGGAGACATTATAATTGGTGGCAATCTGTACCTGAGTATATCTGTACCAAATTAACTTACTGATGGATTATCAAACAAATTACCGGCTTTATCAAATAGATCTTTCCAATTTGCCATTGTTGTGCGTGGTTCCTTTAATTTGTCTACGTCCAATTTATGTGAGCATTTTTGCTCCCCACAATAAACTATGGTGTATGTTTTTCATCACCTTCAAAGCTTGACATCTGTCCACTAGCATAACTATGGTTAAATATTTATTTAAAATAATAAAAAATTAAAATGCTCCTCATCCAATGTGTTAAAAACCCCGTCTTGACATATGTCCACTAACATGGACTTGATTTCTCTGCCCTCTCAGTTCCCATACCTTTCTATTTGTGCGATCACGATTAAACCACGTCAACATTTTATATCACTAAATAGGAGGGGATGAGAGTATGGAAACTAGGAGGGCAGAGAAGCTGGGTCCATCGTTTGCGGTTGGATCGCAGAGTCTGAGATTTACAAACTCGAAAAACATAAGCATCAAGGGAGTGACGTAATTGAACAGCCAGATATTCCACATTGTGATAAACGGGTGCCAAGATGTTGAGATTGAAGGCGTCATAGCGAATGCCGCCGGAAATAGCCCCAACACTGATGGCATCCAGGCAACATCGACTGCCCTGTTCGAGTAATAAACGTCTATCGCACATTTGAGTGTAGCCAAACAGGTTTTGTGCATCAAAGTTTGATTCCCTTGAATCTCTTCAACGGTTTTTAGGTTAGATTAATTAGAATATCGCTAGCGTAAAAACGTCTCTTTTTATCCTGATGCAATGAATTACAGGGATCAGGTGTGAGAGTCAGCGACGTATTGTACCGGAACAAAATGGATCAATCACATTGTATCAATGTAAATGTAAACACTTCTGGCATTGTTCAACCAGATGCTTGTTTGAAATATTCAAAAAACAAATTAACTAAGCATCTAGTACTTTATCGAAGATGATTGGAACTAAAAACTAAGAACAAAATGGTTAACAGAGACCCCTAAATTATACTTCTCGTCCCCAGAGTTTCATCTCATAAACCCCTAGAATATTATCATAACATGCATAACGAACACTGAACACAAATGAGAAAAAAGAAAGGACTAAACCACATTTATTAGGTTGTTTGCTTTCTGTTCTGTAAGCAATTCTTCTTTTCAAACAGATGACTTAAGGCCAATGATACCTGTCGAAAATCAATATTACCAATATTAGGAAAGGGTGTTGCAGACGAAAAGGGGGAAGGGGAGAAAAAAGAGCGAAAATAGAGACCCTACTACTGAATTTGATATAAACAATTTGTCAGCAACAACAAAAGGCTAGAGAAGTGAAATACATACCACATCCAACTCTTGCTCCTGCGTTCCCAGTAGTCTTGCTAAGTTCATGTCCACCTGTTCAATCAGGGATATATAGACATCGGGGTTAAAACATCGATGATATCACTCTTGTGCGGAGATGAATCAGAGATCAACCCACAACTCTGTCATTTGCACTAAAAAACGGAATTATGAAATAACTGAAGATGCCCATGTAATTTATTTACAGAAAATGCAGAAGCCAAATCAGTATGCTGCTTTATGATTTCCTAACATCATACTAACAATTGCAGCACAAACTGGAAAAAATCATCTACAGGGTTTACGTCTTGTTATGAAACGTATATGATATGACTTTAAGGGCTACTAAACAGGTAAAGTCACCAGTTTTTCTGTTAAAACTTAAAGTCACAATTAAGTCCCAAAAGATATGCAAGAAAAATTATTTCTCAAGTATGAAGGGCTACTGAGACAACAATTTCTAATTTGAATAACAAAAGGTGGAAGAGCTCTTCTTAGAGTGTTCAGTGATTGGCACAAACCTTACAAAAGTGAAAGAGAAATTTCACAGCAAAAGAATAACCATAATTGAGTCTTAATTATCATGAGATTGTCGTCTCCATGATATAAGCTCAAGAAGATGCTTTGCAAAACCATAAAGCACATTCATGTTTATTACGGTATCTCCAATAGCCTTATAGGGTTAACGACTTCAAAATTAATAATTTTGAAAAACCTTACAAAGTCTCATAAGATTTTAATTCCATGAAAAGAAATTCATTGCAGATTTGGAACTAAGTGAATTAGAATTAAATACCAAGACAAGCTAAAACTCTTAAAAGATTGATACTTTGACACAATGTTAAATAGACAAATTTTGGCCTATTACCATGTACCGAAAAAAAGTTATATAAACAAATATTGATCCACACAGCGTAGTTATTTGCAACTAGGAAGTGTCGTAAAATCAGTAGCTGGTCAAATGCCAATTGATACTGATAATTCAGATTCAAAAACTTGAGTGATCAAGTAATAATAATATGCACAGTTTCTCTGATGAATTAAAACTTCACCTCTTCACTTAAAAACAAAAAGCAGAAGTAATTGTCCATTAGAAGCAAGAAGTGACAAGAAATTTGTAATCAAGGGCTAGATGCCTCAAAATCATATTGTGTACCATGTGAAATCCCTTTTGAGCGAAATAATCATGGAATAGGAAAACTTAATGCTTTCGTGACGAATCATCAAAGAAGATACCAAACTTCACAAAGAGGTTGTAGTAGCCTAAACGTGATAAACAAACAATTGGCCAATCAAATTTTACACACTCACCTTTACCAAGATCATTAGGATCAGCGTGCACTACAACTGCTCGCCCAAGAATTGAATTAGGTCCGCTTAGTGGAATCTAAGATTCATAAACAGCAATCCAAGGACATATGAATTATGAATAATCTCGTAGCTGCCGATAAGCCTATGACATGCATATACATGCGCTTCTTCTACCAATTCAATCCTTTATCCATAGAATAAAGTTAAAGAGTCTAGGCATACATATTTCTTCATATTCGTATTTCGACTTTTACAAAAGGGAAAGAATTGTTACCAGCCAGTCCTGGAGAGAAACCTCAGCAACTCCTGCGGAGTGAGTGAGAGTGCAACTTTAGTAGAATGCTGAATTTATTACACACAGAAAAGAAAAGCAATACTTTTTCATAGTTGTTAATACCATCTTGGCCGGCAACAATGTTACCCAAATCGCCGGCGTGACGCTCCTTATCTGAAGGAGCTCCATGCTCCTTCTTCAGTGGATTAAAATGAGGTCCTTAAACATCAAAGATTAAAAATTTGAAAAGTCCAAACCAGAAAGCATCCACCAACGAAAACAAATAGTAGGAATCAAGTAAAACCCATTGAAGAAACAAGAACCACGTCCTAGATGCAATGAAAAATTACATTAATTGAAGAATTTAAGCAGAAATTAAGAGAGAGATACCAGTGGAATTGCAACCATTGGAGGTATCACCAAGAGCATGGATATGGAAACCATGAAGGCCGGGAGAGAGGCCACTAATCCTCCCCTGTATGTGCGTAGGCCCTCCTGTTCATCATTCAGTTGATTTCCGGTGAAACAGTAGGGAAAAAGAGAAAGAGAGAGATAAGAGAGAGACCGGTGGATGCCTGAAGGAAATGAAGGGAGCCTCGGACGTTGGAATCTCCGGTCATAAGAGCCACCGCTTTCACACTAGCCATTTGATTCCCTCCGCTGCTTCCGCTGCCCCTTATGCCGCTTTTCAATTTTTTCATCTCTCATATCTTTTTTTATTTTTTATTTCAGGCTTTTCAGCTCCCATGCTGCTATGCATGTGATAATACTAAATGATTGAATATTAGTTAAACGTTAATTAATGTTTTATTGATGATATATAAGTTAATTTGTAAATTTAATTTAAATTTCTAATCTCTTTAACATTATCCTTTCACATAATATACAATTTTAACCATTTAAATTTTTATTATTTTCTGGATAACATAAGAAGGTGGATCATCCCAAAAATTAATTTAGATAATCATCACATCATCAAATAACCGAAGATTTTTCAATGTTCCGCATAATATTGTCTTGGTATATAAGTTTATAACACAATTGATTGAAATCTATTTTTTCAAGTACTATTACACTAATAATTAGTTGGTGCATGAACCTTCTTTACCCATCACCCTTTTATAGCACATCATATGTCTCATTTATGGGATCCATCTAGCACAAGATTGGGCTTAGCCAATTAAGTTAGAGCCACTAAGTTCAATTTTATTATTTTATAATATATAATGTAGAATATTCCAATCTTACGGCTGACGAACTTAATATTAATTTATTCTTCAAAATTTTACTATAAATACTAAATAGATTGAATCAAACAAAAATCATAGAAATGATACAAAGTTTAAATTAGAAAATAGTTTTTGAATTTTGATGTGTTACATATGAGTGAACGGGTGAGTGTAGATCTAGAGATCCATCCCTTTTATCTAATTCTTTTCATCAAACAATTCAAATCCATGAAATTTGATCTAACAGCTAAAAATACGATCACACTTTAAAAGTTATAATAACTTTAGCTGTTAAATCAAATTTTAAAGGTTTAGATTGTTTGATGAGCATGATTAGATGAAGGGATTCAACCTAAATCTAGAACCACTAATTATTTACTTTACCAAAAACAACTAGTAATTGATTATAACTTTTTACCAAAAAAAGCCATACAACGAATAATTTATATTCAACAACTAAAAATAAATAATCATTTCAGTGGTTCCTCTGGATTGTTTCTTCTTCTTCCCGTATTTCTTTCCTGTGTTGTTTCTCTGTGTTCGTTAATTGGAGAGTGAGAGAGAAAGATGAGGGAGATAATAAGCATACACATCGGACAGGCAGGGATCCAAGTTGGGAATGCGTGCTGGGAGCTCTACTGCCTTGAACATGGCATTCAGCCCGATGGTATGATGCCCAGGTATGTATTTATCTCTCTCTCTCTCTCTCTCTCTCTCTCTCTCACACCCCCCTGAGTTTCTATGATTTTTTTCTTAATTTGAATCCGTTCCTGTGAAAAAACCAATCCTTTTTATTAAATTAATAGTTTTTGGGTTTTGGTATTCAATTCAATATGGAAATTGGGAATTGAGTTATATTTATGTTCAACAAATCTAGCGGATCAGATTTGGATTAACCTAAATGCAACATGGTTTCTTGCTACTTCATTCATGAAAACTAAAATGTGGGGAGCTTATTTGTGATTGAGATCAATTCTTTTTGCTTCCTTTGATCCGTTTATCGTTGCGTTTTCAATTTAGAGGAACCTTGATTGAATTCTGGAGTTAATCGAGGAGAAAAAAAAATCACCTTGTAATGTTAGCTTCCTGTCTAGATTTGGAATGTTGGATTTTGTCTTTCTTGGAATTTCAATCAAGTTTTGCCTCTTTGTGCTAATAGTTTTGCCTCTGGTGAGATCAAACTAGCAATCGCGGTGGCTTGATGCAGACTGTCTTGTCATTCAATCTATTAGATGAACACATGCAATGTGTTGATTTCATGTTTACTCTTTTCCTTTCTTAATTGAAACTCAGACGCCCTCGTCTGTTGCTAATGTGCAAATATCAACAAATGTCATGATCTCTTAATGCAAACTATGTGGTGTCAGCTACATTTAACTTATCTCAAGCTCAAACGTATGCTTAAGATTAAAGATTTATTGATACCTTTCCTATGCAATTCCCTACTGGGGAATCAGACTATTTGAATTGGCAAAAATTTCTAGAATTTATGTACCCAAAAAAAAAAACAAGGTGTAGGTATGTAACACGTTTTACATCCTCATAGTTTGGTTATGCAAGTTATTTTTCATTCTTTCCAATGCACTTGTATGAACTTGTCTGTGTGTTCACATCTCCCTTTTGTGGGTTCCCGTGCCACGTATATCCATAACTGGTATTTGGCGGGGTTGTGAATAGTAATATAGTTCTGATATTTAGAACAACTGCTTTTCATTTTGTTTTGTTGTATTTCTTCTTTGATATGTGGACCAGTTTATTGGGTAGTTACTTAGTTACCGCAAAATTCTTATAATCCCTTGTACCTGTGTAGAAGGATGGATTATTAATTTTTAATTGTATTTGTGTGAATGCAGTGACACCTCTGTCGGCGCTGCAACCGATTCTTTTAACACCTTCTTCAGCGAAACTGGTTCTGGAAATCATGTGCCCAGAGCCATATTTGTTGATCTTGAACCGACGGTTATTGATGAAGTCAGGACTGGGACTTACAGACAACTTTTTCATCCCGAGCAACTTATTTCTGGCAAAGAAGATGCTGCAAACAATTTTGCCCGAGGACACTACACAGGTATAATTATGTATGTTGCGCTGTCCAACTGGCATTTCCATCTATTACTTTAGTTATAACTGGTTTTCTGAATGCTACAGTGGGGAAGGACATTGTGGACCTATGCCTTGACAGGGTAAGAAAATTAGCCGATAATTGCACTGGCCTGCAAGGGTTTTTGGTATTTAATGCTGTTGGTGGTGGCACTGGTTCTGGTTTGGGTTCCTTACTTCTCGAACGATTGTCTGTTGATTATGGAAAGAAGTCAAAGCTCGGTTTCACGATTTATCCTTCTCCTCAGGTACATTACTTAGAAAAGTGCAGGATATGGTAATTGGATAGATCTTAAGTGCTAAAACTAGTATTTGTGAACACTTGTCTAACTCGTCTTTCTTCTCTAAATTTTGTATGCTGTACCTGTTTCAATGGTTTACTGCGACAAATTAGTTCTGCTACCTCAATAAGCAAAAAACTAAATCTGATAAAAAAGCTAGTCTACAATTATAAGAGACATGTTTATTCTTACCAGAAGGGCATCAGAAATGATGGTCAGAAAGATTCTCAGAACCTAGACAAGATGACTTCTTTGAGAATATAAAATTTTTAGTGGCTTGCATTCGGTTAATGTTCACATTTTTTAATATTTTTACCTTCTGATTGTACTTAATGGTTTTTCAGTTCTTAATGTAAAAATATGCACACCAAGTCCGAAACTAGATATTACATCTGGAGAGACAACATAAGTGGTGTGCGGAAACTTAGGAAATATTACTGTTTGAGAATAAAATCTTTTGAAGGTTCTCCCTTTCATCTGCTTCCACATAATTAGCTCTCTTAATTTTCTTGAACCATTCATGTGCGACTGTCTACAGAAACTAATCTTAAAATGTGCAGGTCTCCACTGCTGTGGTAGAACCTTATAATAGCGTGCTTTCCACGCATTCTCTCCTTGAACATACAGACGTGGCTGTGCTTCTGGACAATGAAGCCATTTATGATATCTGTAGGAGATCTTTAGACATTGAAAGGCCAACGTACACCAACTTGAATCGTTTAATATCCCAAACGATATCTTCTTTGACAACTTCGTTGAGGTTTGACGGTGCCATTAATGTGGACATTACGGAGTTTCAAACTAATCTGGTTCCATATCCTCGTATCCACTTTATGCTCTCATCTTATGCCCCTGTAATCTCCGCTGCAAAGGCCTACCATGAGCAACTGTCAGTTCCTGAGATCACAAGTTCTGTATTTGAGCCCTCAAGTATGATGGCCAAGTGTGATCCTAGGCATGGGAAGTACATGGCATGCTGCTTGATGTACCGTGGTGATGTTGTACCGAAGGATGTAAATGCTGCTGTAGCTACCATTAAGACAAAGAGGACAGTTCAGTTTGTGGACTGGTGAGTAGACACTTCATGCATCTAGTTTCATTAAAATATAAACCTAAATAGTATTCGCACCAAAATTGATGAGATGGATGTTACTTTATTATTGATTTCAATATTTCAGTCCTTGTAGTTCAAGCAATGGCAATGACGTTTATTTATGGTCATACATGTTAAGCTTAGGCTGTATTAATGCTGACATCTTCTTAGTATATCTCTAACACGTTTGTGGGTTAAACATGTTTTTGATATCGTACTCTCATTGTGTATACATTAATTTCTTATGCACTGGTAGCAATATTAATGGTAGGAAACCCTTGTTTGTAGACAAACTGGATTCAAAATAGCCGTCTTAAAAGGAAGGATGCTGGGGTTTTCATTGCAGATTATTTGACTTCGTAAACTATTTTTTTGTTGTCCCTTGTGTTTATCTGAATGGTTGCTCTATATGGATACTTTCAGGTGCCCAACTGGTTTCAAATGTGGTATTAACTACCAGCCCCCGACAGTTGTACCAGGTGGTGATCTTGCCAAGGTGCAACGTGCAGTTTGTATGATAAGCAACAACACTGCAGTAGCTGAGGTCTTCTCCCGAATTGACCATAAATTTGACCTTATGTATTCCAAGCGGGCATTTGTGCATTGGTATGTAGGTGAAGGGATGGAGGAAGGTGAATTCTCAGAAGCCCGTGAGGATCTTGCTGCTCTTGAAAAAGACTACGAGGAAGTTGGGGCAGAAGGCGCTGATGATGAAGAGGAAGGGGAAGATTACTGAACCATAATACTTTGGGATTCACTTCGGAAGCAATCTGTCTATCCTGCTAGACCTCTCCATTATTTTGTTTCTTATCTAGCTGTGCATTTTTCTTTATCCTTTTTTCTTTCGAAAGACATGCACATTGTGTTTTGGTTCTGCCCTTGTGATGGTTTTGGAAGTACGTTTGCCGTGTATAAGTAATCAACTTTTCATTACTTGGAATGAACTAATGTTGTCTTTGAAACAATTGAGATCTGCCCAAAGCTCGAGACCTGTATCCTAGACCCCATGTTAACGAATGGTTGCAAGTGTTAATCGGTTGGTAAGTTGATATGGCAACTCTGCGTAGGTTGTCTCCACAATATGATGTCATGATTTGAAGTGTTCATTTTTTGGTTCTCTTTGCTGAACTGTTTTGGACCACAATTTCAATAACCTTTAAATCTACCACAATTACTCCGCATGGACGAAGGTGAAATTGCCCACGATTTTGTCGTAACGTACATCTCCTCGGAGTTTCTTGTTTTAAGCTGTAGAGAAATTAGGGATGCTTACTTTATAACAAATAAGATATCAATTACATTCGTTGAGGTAGCTAGGAAACCTTTGAATAACATTAAGTGTAATTAACTTGTCTCCATGTATGTGTGTGTGTATGTTCCAGCAGATATCGATCTTGAATTAAATCCGCAAGAATAAGTTAATACAAATAAATTTCTGATCATCTTAATCTCTTAACAGTTTCTCAGTTGACAATTGCAAGAATAATTGAAGAGAAAGAGAGATCCAACTTCCGTGCATGGCCACCAACAACAAAACCTTCAATTCAACTGATCCTAATTAATTAGCAGAACAAAGAACACAGCGGCGGAAGATCCCAGAGCGCTTCGTTAGGATCATGAACTGTTTCCATATACTCTTGCATCCCATTCATTGCATAAAGCGAAGCCGATATCTGTCTCTCCACTTTCAACCTTTCGAAATCCATCAGCCCCGAATCAGCTTCACCTGCCGTACAAATAGTACTAGTAGTAGTCGTATTACTCTCCGCCGAGGACAAAGCAGCCGCCGCCTGATGTTTCGGAAACTCAAACGCTTGTTGAGCAAACGAGAAGCAGTCAACCCCCGTTTGATATGACCCCCATGAAGGCAGGTTGGATTGAGAAGTATTGGAGGAAGAACTCAACTCAAAGTCCTCGTTGCAGTTTCTCAAATCCGGTTTGTAGACATCGTCAAACAGCAGAGAATTATCATGAAACACCTCGCTCGAAAGGGAAGTTGTGTCGCTGCCGCTGCTAGTTGAAGTACAAGTAGTACTAGTACTACTTTTACGTACTAGTTGTTTAGACGGAGGCGGCAGATGATCATGATCAGAACTAGTACTAGTAGTAGTGCTAGTACTACTGCTTTGGTGTTGTAGTAGTGCTAGTTGTTTAGTGGCTCCTCCTCCTCCTCCTCCTCCTCCTTTTTTCGTGTTGAGTAAATTCCGAATGCGAGAAGCGAGAGGGGAGTCCAAAGATACGTGGGTGATGAAGTTGGTTCGAGCGTTTGAACCGCGAAGAAGGCAGGCGGCTTCATCATAAGAACGGGCAGCCTCCTCCGCGGTCTCAAAGGTTCCGAGCCACATCCTTATTTTTTGAGTAGTGCCTTTGATCTCGGCAACCCATCTCCCCGAAGGCCTCTGTCTCACGCCAACAAACTTGTTTGCGTTGTTGTTGCTTCTACTATTATTATTTCTTCCCTTCAACTTCCCTACTTTGCTGCTGCTTTTTGGAATGCCTGCAGCTGCAAAGGAAACTTGCTGCGGCCGTTGGAACTGAAACTCCATTGAAATTACTTTGCATGCAAATTAATTAAAGAGAGAGAAAGCTAGTGTTGGATTTAAGCTAGGGTTTGATTTAAGGAAATGGAAGAAGGGGAGGCACTCTTGTATTGGCTAGCTCTGATTGGCTGCGGGGAGCTCGTCTGCATCTCCTTGTTTGGTTGTGGGAGCGGGACTTGTATATTTTAGGGGTTTCTGAGTTTTCTATGAACAAATTGGTTGTTTAGGAGCTTCTCTACGTCCTTTTGTGTTTGTTATCTTATGAAACACATATTTTAAGTTTAAAGTAGGAAAAACATGTGTCGCAAGAGACTTATTTACTTTTCCATTTACACCCTTTTCCGCATTTCACAATTAAAAGATTATGATTCTTCTGGTATGTAGTTTAAGTATTTTAGAGTGTTAATCGTTATACTCGAGTTTTTATATTCAAATCATCCCTCCTACATTATCTCTAATTGTACCCAAAAAAAATAATACTCTTACGCACAATACTAAGCTGAGTAAACTTTTATGTGCAAGAATAAAAATTCTTAACTACTTTAGCTCTAAACTCTCGCTAATGTGTCAATATTTGTTGATCATTTTTTTTTTTATATATACTTTACAATGTTGCTCATTTCTTCTTCACCAAATGTCGTCTATTTACCTTCTGAAAAAATGTCACCTATTTACAAACAAACTAGAAACTAAAGTAAAGAAAATAAATTGAGGACTTTAAGGACATAACACATAAGAAGAGAGGTTTTGCCATTTAAGATCCTGTAGGGCACCAAGTCAAGCACTTGACATAAAAAAGGTCGTCAAGGCACGACAAGCTGCCACTTGGAGGCACCAAAATCATCTTCTAGAGAGTAACAGAAAACACAGAGAGAGAGAGAGAAAGAGAGAGAACGCATCTTGAAATTTAGGTAAAGACAGTCATATGAAACAACTTGCATCTTCAAATGCATGGTTCATCGACAAAACTTAAATCACCACACAAAACTTGGCAAAATTCTTCCGTTAGAGATCTGAATTAGTTTGAATTAATATTTTTATTGTGATTTCGTGAATTCAGATTATCCAATGCTCGTGATATTTAATATTACATAACATGAAAATGGAATTCTTAAACTTTGTTCACTTCCTTAAACATTATTGATAGATTCTTTCTTTCAATAAACATAGATATATCATATATGATGGTGATCATCATCACTCTCAACATTAGATATAACATAAGTTAATGTTGAAAAAATGGTCAAAAACTAATTCACATCATACTACTTTTTATGTAACAAACTCTTAGGCCACGAACTGAATTTATAGAGTTCGATAGGGAAAATAATTTTCACACACTATTATTATCTCTATGCATACTTATGTTTCTACCATTTTTTTTATAGAAAGGGAGACAACTAGTGGCAAGCTACTATTATCCACCCTTACCAGAAGTCGGGAATACTCACAGAGGTATTTCAGTCTCCATCTAACTACAAGTCTGGCTTCCACACTAGCAACGATTTTCAAACTTAAGACCTCCAGTTTTAGGGTCGAATAAAGCAAACAAAAATCAATGGCCTGTTGTAAACATTAGTGTAGAAAACAAAGAGTGGATAAATATTATTTGAAGATGAAGGGTTGGTTTGATATGACTGTGCTTTGAAGAAAAATTGCTTCTGCTGTGCTGTGAGAATAAGCTCATTTTTGCTGCTTCACGTTTTCAGCTTTTTTTTTTACCCAAAACTGTGAAAATAAGTTGTTTTTAAGTGTTTACCAAACACCTTTTTGAGCTCAGCTTTTTGGACCCGGCTTCTTTGCCCTCCCACTTCCCATACACTCTCATCCCCTTCTATTTTGTGCAATAACAGTTAAGCTACGTCAACATTTTATATTGATTTTTTTTTTAGAGATAATAAGACAAAAAATAATAGTAATATAAAATGTTGACGTGACTTAACCGTGACCGCACAAATAGGATGGGATGAGAGTGTATGAGAAGTGGGAGGGCAGAGAAGCGAGATCCCTTTTTTTTTTTATACCCATTTTTTATAAAAGTATCACAGTACCAAACTAGTATGAATTGTGACAAGGAGAACCTCGAGCAATTAGTAAAAGCCCACTCATGGTCACCAGAGTGGCCACAATCTACTCTCCTTGAAGGGCCGACGGGGACATCGGTGCATTTCCGTTTGGGTTCGACTCGACACTCATGCTAAACCCAAAAGCAAATATGCAAATCCAATTTCATTTTGGGCTCCAAAATCAGGGACCCAAAATCCTTACGCATCGAAACCGTTGATGTTGAATCTAACGGTTACAGTAATCTTAAGTTTTTTTTATTGTCCGGCCGACGCAAAGGATAAAACGAGAAATGCAAGAGAGAGAAAGAGGAGGACGGAGAAACAACAGACAGGAAAGGAAGAAGAAGAAGAACAAGAAGAAATAATTCACAAAAACTTGAGAGGAGAAAAACAGAGAGCAACACCAGAACAACAGCAAAGACGGAGGAGGCGGAGAAGCGAGATTTACAGAAGAAGAATCTCCATCTCCATCTGGGCTTTCGTCGTCTTGGTGAAATTTGCTGGAAAATCCTCAAAGTTCTGTAATTTACATTTAAACATCTCATCGTAAGCTTCCTTCAACTGGTAAAATTTTGATTATTCACTTCTGGGTTTCATTTGGGAAGATGCAAGTTTTTATTTTTATTTTTTTTATATTTAATTTCTGAATTTATTTTTGCAGGTATGGAGACGGAGGAAGAGAGGAATAATCAGAGAGCTTCAGAACCTGAGTTTTTCCTGCAGTGGGGGAACAGGAAGAGGCTCAGATGTGTGAGAGTCAAAGGCTCGGAAATCTCAGCCGAGAGATTCAAATTCAATGGTGGCATGTGCAGGACAATCACATCGTCTCGGATTCATCGCTTTGCGGTCTCCACTTCCGGAAAAGACATCTCTGGTTTTCAATCCAATCGCCTTACCAGGTCAGAAAATTTCACATGATTTCTCTGGCTCACGCCTACCACCTGTGTGGTTTTACGAGAAACTAAAGGAAAAGAAATAAGCAGAGAATATGAGGCAATTTCTTTTGTTATGTGCTCGTTTTTACATGGATTTTCTTTTGTGCTATTATTTGGTTCCCAAGTATTACTGTATTAATATAATTCCTCAACCTTTTCTCCGACGAATCGAAGGGAGGTGAGTTATTTTCCGGAGAAACGGAATTGATAACAGAGGAGAAGTGATTTCTGCACACCCCTGCCTTTGGATTGAACAGATGAAATGAGAACAAAGCGACATGAGTATTCAGCTGGTGTGTACAAGGAGAAAATGGGTGCACGCAAATCATTTCTCTAACAGAAAAAATATATTTTTTGGACAAAGAGAAAAGATCAGTTTAAAAGGTTTCAATGTTATTGGATTTAATATATAAGGAGTTTTGCAATTAAGAATCAATCGGAACATGATAAGTGGAGCCGTTGTCGAGCAGTTCAGGGTTGTTTTGTTCTCTAATTGAGCTTTTGAAGTGTTTTGTTATGAAACTTGTAGTTGTCAACCTGTTTTTTTTTTTTTTTTTGTCTTTCTAATTTACTAAATTTAGTTTGTGGGTCTGTTTGGTTTGGTTTGGTTACAGGAATTCTGACGGGAACCGAAAGTCATCTTCACCGGAGAAGGAGGAAAGGTACTACACCAGAAGAGGATCTGTGGGTGTGGGATCTGTGGGTGTGGATGAGAGTTGTAACGGGAATGGGAATGGGAAGGTTATGATGGACGGAAACAATGTTGAGGACCGGGGGCTTGTTTGGCCAAAGCTGTACATCACTTTGTCGAGCAAAGAGAAAGAAGAGGACTTTTTGGCCATGAAGGGTTGTAAACTTCCCCAGAGACCCAAGAAAAGGGCCAAACTCATCCAAAGAAGCTTACTTGTAAGCCCTCCTGTTAGTTTCTCTGCTAATTAATAGATATGAAAGTGGATTTTATTTTCCTTGTGTGGCTATGCGGGTTTAATTTTAGCTTCTGATACCAATTTTGGTTGGTTTGTAGTTGGTGAGTCCCGGTGCATGGCTCACTGATATGTGCCAAGAGAGATATGAAGTTAGGGAGAAGAAAAGTACTAAGAAGGTAGTTGAACTGGACTTATCTCATAATTTGCTGCATCATTTTTCTTTATTTTCGAGGGGTATTTGTATTTGTATTCGTATTCTGATATTTGGTTGATGTTTGAATGATGCAGAAATCAAGAGGATTGAAGGCTATGGGGAGCCTGGAAACCGACTCGGAGTGATGGGTTGTTGAAGCAGAAGACTGTTTTCTTTGTTTTGTTTAGAAGATGAATGTGAAATGTATGTGGAGTGGTTAGGCTTTTGTTAGAGTAAAAGGGGTTATCGTAAATTACTAAATTATGTGTTGTATACAACTGTGAGCAATGTATCAATCAATTCTTTTTTCGTTGGTCAGATTCTTGGATGGTAATTTATATTTTGGATGGTAATTTATATTTTCAGCCGTGGATTATTTTTATGGTCACAAATAGTTATGGTCAAATGTATTGTGTAAATACGGAGAGATTTTCCGGGAAGGGGCTTCTGTGTCGCGAACCGATTGCAGGGGTCCTCGGAATGTCTTGGGAGGACGGGTGATGCGGCACCGGAATCCTTACCCTAGAATTTCTCCGAAGTCCTAAATATGGGGGGACTACCGCTGCAATGCGACACACTAGGTGGATACAGTACAAAGCCCTGGAGCAACCAACACCCAAAGCAACTTCGAATTCGGAAGAGAGTGCCCCGCAGAAGCTAAGGCATCCGTCAAGCGAAAAACACAGTGGGGTTGCTGGTTCCAAGCGTATTCTTAAATTGCAATATTGCATGATCCATCTGGACATTATCCATAAAAGCGCTTAGACCCCAACTTCTTGTATATTCAATTCTCATTGAGGTCGATAATATTTTTTTCTTTACACAATCTGTCAAACAAACAAGAACAAGGCGGAAGATTTTACAGTCTGTATTCTACGTATGCACTATGCAATATCGCTTTTCACGCTACACGATTACAAGTTTGGAAGCAGTTTATGTGGATGCCGCAACCATGATTCTTACTATTATGTAGACTTTCTTTCCGGGCATAGAAACAAGCAAACTTCTGCAACAAATTCAAATTTTTCCATCTCTGTGATGGCAGTTGCGAGGTGCTGAAACATCCTACAAAGTAAAACAGGATAAGAACATCTCAAAACAAGACGACTCTATGGGCAATTGCATCATTCGAAATTTAGATACGCGCACCTTCTTATATACTGCGAGATTAACTCACTTAAGGCTTTGCAGCCTGAAGCATCTCCACTATTAAAGTCTTCACATCCCTAAAAAGAGAGAAATAAAATCCAACTTCTTAGAAAAAATTTAAACCAACTCAAAGTATGAAGTAAGAACATTTCAACCAGAACAAACGAATAACTATATCCTCTGACCAATGCGACGGACAATTATACCATGATCTATGCAGTAGTACATTAACATAAAAAACCCTGTAGAATCTGGAATAGCTGAAGCACAAATAAATCAAAGATAAATCTTGACTTCCACAAAAAGAGGAATATTCATATAAATGAGAGGTCTCACTTTCGATTCTCTGCACGTCTAGGAAAAGGTATGCGGAGCTTGAAATTATCACCCTGATAGCCAGCCTAAAATGAGAATAATAAAGTCCGAAAAATATCATGTCAAAATGGAAGAAATTTTATTGGTGATGTGTAGTATTTCAAGCACAAAACCTCATTTGCAGCATAGAGACAAATGCTTTAGAAAAAAAACATATAAAGGATGGCTATTAGCAATGAAATGTTAAAGATTGGTAGTTACCTTAACATTGAAACCCAGGCTATCCAAGTCCAAAATGTAAGCAGAGTCCACCTGCCGAAAAACAAAATCACCTTGCATCAAACTAAACTTTCCCCACCCGTCTATCTATATGTTCATATCTTGTATTATTCCAAAATTCCAAAATTCATATATGGATCTGGGCAATTCATGCAGAATCCTTCCGAAGTGTCAGCCTGGCATACACAACATGTATTGGCACAATATTGACACCATATTCATTGGTTTAGTTTCAACTAATGTGAGCAAAGTTGACATCCCCTATATTGAGAAGGAAAAGATGAACCATATGCAAATTACCGGAATCGACGTCGAGTGTTGCACAATGGCTTTTGTATCGTCAGCATGATCCCTGTTCATGTGAGACTGGGAAGCAATAGTTTTAAGATTCTATTAGAAAAGACGAACAATTCATATTAAGATGAACCATAAAGCATGTAATACTAGTTAAGGAGTTAGTACTGCAACAGGCTTTGAAAACTGAGCAATTGGATCAACTTTTGCAGCCTTATACTCCTCACTTCTGAACTCTGAAAGTAAAAGTAGCGAATGTTAAGAAAACAGAAAAATATGAAATAAAGGTAACAAATATTTTGTAAATAAAATATCAATAAGAGGTGCTATAAACAGAAAAAGAACAAAGCCTTGGTATATCCGTTTCAAAAGTCATCTACAGAGTACGAAATTATCTTTTCCAAGAGTGACAAGACACCAAAAAAGATTGAACTACAAACATTAGAAAAAATTAAAGTACCTCCTGATCCTAATAAGGCTGTTGCAACCCCTGACACGTATCGCACAACTTTTGGTTCAATGCGCATGAATTGGAAGTCGCCAAAGTCAACCTTCAGATTGTACGTGATTATTTAATACTGACTATAAAATTTGCTGCAACGTATCATCCATATACATTAATTATGCTTCGGAACAAGAATGTTACCCAGAATGCATTGGGATGCTTAGCCAAATATGCAGTGCGTATGGCTGCTTGATCCTTCTCGGAAACCTAAATAATTGTTCACAAAAGAACACCCATTTTCACTTGTTTGCAACCAGACAGAGAGAGAGGGAGGGAGAGGGAGAGGGAGAGAGTGTGAGAGAGAGAGAGCACTTCAAACACTATCCAAAAGTAGAAAAGTAGCCATTACTTACAGGAATAGCATCACCATGCAGCGTGACCACCAAATCAGTCCTATCTTCAGGGTCTCTAGCCACAAGCAATGAGCACTTGCGATTAAGGGAAAGGTCCTATTGAATCAACAAAAAAAAAAAGCATGATATGATATGACATGGCATTGTTGATATCGGTGAGATTAACATGCAGAGAGATCCATACAGTGATAAAGTAGCAGCTTATTTTACTAGGCTGGTTTCCATGCTTGGAAGGGGTACATGTTTCTAGAGAAAATCATATGGAACAGATTGGAAGTTTTAACACATAATGCTTCTGCAGTCTTCCTTCCGTATGAAAGAAGGTTAGCATCATTTCAAGTGAAGAAAGGATGCTGCCTATGCATCTAGATAATATATTGCAGCTTAATTCCAATTTTAGCTTGAGTGAGCATTGTGTAAGAGCAAAAATCTCTTCGGGGAGAGAGTGTTTTCTGGGGCATTGAAATAGTGAGTGTATCAGAGTTTAACTTTGCATTTGGGTTGTGTTGATTTAATTCAAACTGTCTTGCATTCGTTATATTCCTTATGAAGAAGAAAGATCCCTCATGGATGTACCGATGTAGGGAGAACTTGCTGAACCACATAAAACTCATGAACATAATTTTTACTGCCTATCTATAAGTGCAATTGTGTATTGCTGTGTGGTGTAATTTCTCCTTTGAAACTGAGTTTGTACTTCTAAAACTCAACAAGTGGTATCGGAGAAATGTTATTTTGAGGTTTACAATAATTGTTATTCGCCCCAGTGCAACAAGAAGTTCAAAGTTTAATCCAACAAACCTTAGTATGAACTGCCAAGCTGCTAACTGCTAATATTGGAGATCCATCTGCATCACATGCAAAGTCAACCATTGATCCTGATGGATAACCCTCATGCTTCTGCACATTAAAGAAAACCAAAGAAAAAGAATTAAGAACAACAAGGTCGTTGAAGTAATAAATACCATAAACATCAATCAACCAGAGTGGTTAATGGGAATATACTCGAGGTCATAAAATGATAACACTCTATGACTGTTAAAAGAAAAGTACTATCTATTCCCCAACCATGTACTTTGGTCCAGCATCATGATTTTGTAGCGCAATTACATGTTTTTTTGCACACTTTTCATCACCGACCACCAGTGTGTCCTAAAATTAATTTTATTCAAAAATAAAAATAATTTCAACAGAACTTCAACATCATTAACTTGTTGGGAATCAAACTTTGATTGCTTCATCCCAAATTTTGTAAGAAAGAATTATGATGCTCCACAAGGCCAATAGCCCCAATACTCATGGTGTATGTTATTATGAGAACCACCACAAAGACTACACCGTGCATAAACTTCCAAAAGCCTAATCACTAGTGAGAGGAACTGACATATATGTGAGATAATATTACTTTCGCGTAATTACTGGTTAAAGAAAGAGAGATTTACATAAGTGCATCCAAATCCATGAAATAATATACCTTTCTGATGGATGATTAGTAGGCCTACCCTTAATCATAGACTGGGAGACATCTAATCTAAATAGGATTGCTATCTGGTAGTTCATTCTCATAATCTCCACACTAGACCAAGAATACTAATTGACCAGTCTACTGCTTACAAAGTGCAAGAAGGTCATGCACTAATCTAGAATCAAATAGCAATGAAACAAAAATTCATTTAAGAAAAGAACGAAAAACACTGATATAGAAACCTGAGAAAAAGTGGAGAGTGTTCCACGAACACTACGATCAAGTAGAGTTCGGATTTCCTCAACTGGGGGAAGCCGAGCAGCCTTTTCCTGTAACAACAACCAAAATTCAACAGAGCCAAATCCTACATTCCCACATTCAATTTCCTACACTTATAGTCTAATAGCAATAGTACATTATTTATGTAGAACCTTTGAATATGGACATGTGATGCAGTACAAGCGTTCAACTTCACATCAAATTTTACCAAGTATTAAACTTTACCTGATGAGATTGAATCAACTGAAAAACATTGGCATCATCACCAGCTGCAACACTCTGATTCAACAAGAACAATTAAAATTAAAGCTTAAAATTAACAAATTTACATCAATTTTTTTCTCACTTAATTTCGAAATCATTCATTCATTCATCGCAAAATTAGATACAAATATATATAATCAAAAAATCAAAAAACCAATCAGAAAATAAAATTATAAAATTGGGGTTCATTTGTTTTCGCTGGAATCATAAGACAAGGGTACCTGAGTAGATGACTGAGCGGCGGCGGCGGCCATTGATAAACTACGAGGAAGAGTGGTTGGGGAGGAGAAGAAGGTGGAGGAGGGGCGAAATTGTAAGATGAGAGGGGAGTGGAGGTTATTATGGCCATTAAAGCGGGAGAGTAGGAAGGTCTGCCCCTGCCAAGGCGTCACCGGAGTCTTCAACATCTCTCTCTTCTTTCACACGCCCCGCGACCAAACTCTCTAACTCTGTCTTTTTTATTCGTAAATGGTTGGAACTTGGTTGTCCACTTTTTACTTCTTTTCTTTTTTTTCGTCTTTTTCGTCAAAAACATAGTTTCCTGCCGATAGTTACTTATTCCTAAAAGATTTGGATACGCTTACCCGTTATATTCTACATTAATATACAATAAAAATATAAGTATAAAGGTACAGAGACACATACGAAAAAACCGAAACTGTGTAACACAATTATAAATAAGCTACTCGAAAGACAAACGTTGCATGACGATAACCATTAAACAAAGTAAAAGCGAACCAATATCGAAACTGTACCATTCAGATAACATACATCCTATTAACTATAATTCTTTAATAACCTCAAAACTTTGAGAATAAGCGGAAGCATGACACATTTGGATATGCTTTTAAAATGACTGAAAACATTTATAGAGAAAATATTTTTGGGTTTCAAAAACATTTAAAGTGCTTCATATGTGCTTCTTCAGGAAACATTTAAATGCTTTTCCAAGATTTATTTGCATCTTCACTAATGATTGGTTCTAAAAATATTTTCACCACAAATGTTTTTTGTCATTTCAAAAACACATTCAAACGAGTTCGTAGTTAATAGATGCGATATGGGTTGCCCATACTAGTCCTTAGGTTCAAGCACCTTACATTTTGCCAATCTTTCTTCAACAGCGATACAGAAAGTTAACGCTCAATTGCAAGTTCTGGAATATCTGCTTCTCTTCCATGCTCACATTCCCTACAGCAACTCCCATACAAACAAGCTTCTTCAGTTGGAACTTGATCGTTGCTTTTGTCTCGGAAACCCTAGACTCGACGGATTCTTGGTGACTAACAAGGGTTGGAAATTTTCCTGCCTCGTTGAGACCAGGACCCAGAAGATGGGGAATCTGCTTCATAACGGCTTCTGAAGCCAAAAAGGCATGGTATTTCTTTGCCAACTTCTTAACCAACTTCTTGTTCTTGTTTAGCTTCTTTAGCCCTTCAACGTCCATATAGTCCAACCCAATCTTTTCAGCCTCCTCAACATGCTGAGCATCTCCAAGCATCCAGACCTTCATCTTTGGACGAGGGATGTGCGGCAACCTTACAGAACCACCGAACCGTTTGTCTCTTTGAGGATCATAATTTTTCAGCCCAATCTGAAGTTCAATAGTCTCGGTGAAGTTACGTTCCTTTGCCATGGACGCATTCATGATGATGGAAATACCTTCTCGGAGAGTATCACTCTCTCAAGTCTACTCATGGCTGAAGCTTAAGCTGCCTGACCAAACGAAGACTTCTGACTCTAGATCTCTCTATTATTCTTGGCTCTCTACTCTTGTATTCTCTTGGTTGGTTGTGTGAATAAATAGCTCCCGACGAGCCTATTTATAATACATGAACGGTAGTTACATGTCTTATAAGTATAAGATTCCTCAATCGTTTTAGAATAGGGAATCTTACTTATTTTCTAACCCTAAACTGATTGGATTACGTTGATCGATTTTCAATTTCAGAGATCATTTTGATGAGATGGGTCAATTTCAGAGACTATTTCTGATAAAACCCCTTTCCAGATTGTCGACCAAATGTAGCTGCTGCTGATTTCTAACATACAAAAACACACGGGATTTTCTACACTAATGCCATCTGGATAAATTCCATTGAATTCAACTAATCGGAGTGCGAATTGGTGGCGCAGGCGGAGAGATCGGAAACATCTTCGGACGAGGAGGAGGAAGAAGAGAGACAAGGAAGGCAGGGGAAGCCGACGTTGTAGGTGGTGTAAAGGGGAGCAGAAGAGGAGGTGAGGCACTTGGTGGCTACTCAATCACTCAGGATTGCAGGCGATTTATTGACATAGATTTGCTGAAATAGTTACAATTCAGTTTTAACCAACAACATTGCCCCAAACATGTTCCAAAAGATCCAAGAAACACTACATTAACGTATGGTACAATTCAAAACTCATGTACTATCCGACAATGTAGGCAAATGACTAAATATATGTTGTAAATCCGAGGTCAAAATTCGATGAATGCACACAAGTTTAAGATGGTACAAATCAAACCATATGAAAATCTCCAACATGGAAATGGAACTTTGATACCATTATAATTATCAGAATTAGCCACATAAATGTTTTGCTAATTCAAAACTGTATTATCTATTAGTCTTATAAACAAAATATATTAGCCAAAAATATGTACTCATTCCTAGCAAGCAGTACCAAAAGCTTGTCGGGGCCGTCTTAGTGCCAGCCAGGTTGATCCAACCAATCATACCTTAATAAAATCCTTAACTCCAAAGCGACGCATTGCCAGGTATGCAACGGGTAAGTTGAACAGACGCAAGTCACTGAACCTGAAGAAATCCTTTCACCTCCAAGTAGGACACTACTTGGCCTGCCATGGCTGCAGGCATGGGGCAAACTCCATTTTTTTGTTCTATTTCTATCTGACAAAAGAAGGGTAAAGTTTTCAGTTTGATTTGCATACACAAGGAACACCAAAAGAACACTGGTGATTTTATAATGTCTCCAAACTAAACAATGTGTAATAGAAGATTCATGCCGACATGGCCATTAGTTTTTATACTCCACCAAATACATACCTCGCATTTCTCTGGTGGCTCGTAAGGGTCATCTATTCCAGTAAAACCTGCAATTGAAAACTATTACTGGAAAATTGACCAGAAGAAAAAGGAAAGACTGTTATTTGAATAGAAAGTGACACTATGGTATATTAAAATTCTGTCATTTCATGATACAAATCATTTATTGGGATTCTATATTTGTTTTATTAATTTTATCTCTTTCCCTCCGAAGTATGGCATAGACCAACAGTCTGTCCATGCCAATGGAGAAATTATATGAGTTACATATGTTTCGAAAACACACCCTTAACTTTTCCAGCACGTGCAAGCTTGTAAAGGCCTTTTGCATCTCTTGACTCACATAATTCTAGGGGCATGTTCATGAAAACCTGTTAACATGGAAGTAATATAAAGTCAATCTTCGTAGTTTAAAATAGGTGGACCACATTTACCAGATTATAAGAACAAGAACCATATGAAGTCTTGCCTCAATAAAGTTTGCATCAGATAACATTGCACGGCAAGCATCTCGTTCTTTCCTATAAGGAGATATGAGGCTAGCAATACAAATCAATCCCGCATCTGCAAAGAGTTTTGCTACCTCCCCTACATTGAAAACTTATTTAGTTTAAATATTACCAATGGACACACTATGGTCAAGTTGTAAGGGCAAAGAATTATGAAGCCAGAATACATTTGGCCCCACAAAGGAAAAATCAAATCAAATCAACATTCTCAGCGTGGGCTATATCCAATATTGGTTGGCATGTCTTATGTGTTATCTGAGAACAAATAATCTATGTTTCCTACCAAAATAGTTTGTTGTCAAGAATAACATACCAACTCTGCGTATATTTTCAGCCCGGTCTTCGGCTTTGAAACCAAGATCCTTGTTCAGACCATGCCTAAGGTTATCTCCATCAAGGACATATGACAACTTTCCCCTAGAGTGTAGTTCTCTACTTAATGCGCATGCCAGTGTACTTTTCCCTGATTCCAGAAAAGAGTTCAAGAAGCCATTTAGTGAATACATAGACTGGAGTGAATTGAAAAAGGGGAAAAAAAACCAAATTTCTTGTAGCTTGCTTCCTGTGTGTGAAGTGTTAGTTGACTAGGAGTGAGTCAAGATGCTTTCGGTGTGATCTCATACATTTTCTGATTTTTTTAATAGACAATAAATTACAAGTGGTATGGACAATGCCACAACATGGATAACAAAAAACGAGGCATAAACAAATGTTCTCTTACGCTAAAACATAAGCACAAGACACAAAACCTAACAAATAGCAGTTTTCCAATCTAACCAAATGCTTGAATGAGATAATGCCCCATCAGTCCTGTAGACCGAGGCCCAAAATGATGATAACAAAAATTTATCCCATAACTTGTCTGTCCCACTGCCAGCAAATCTTTGAAAATAATTTTTTTTCTCTCTAGCCAGACTACCTGAAGTACAAGCAATACTATGCATCCCCCCCAAAAAATTGTGGCCTTCTTCCCCATCCATGGTCATTTATTCTTCTCAGACAGAGTCACAGAAAAGAGAAACAATTACGGGGAAAAACCCAACTTACTAAAAACTCCCTAAACAGCTTCCACCAAAGACTCAAACTCATAGGGTAAGTTAGAAAAACATGACCTACATCTCTCTTGCATATGATTGACCATTGAGGATAGAGGCAAGAATTGGTTCTGCTCCTCTGAATCATGTCACAGGTATTGACCATCCCATGAGCCCCTAACCAAATAAAAAAATTTACTCCAAAATGATGTAAGCAATTCCATACAATCACCAGGATTGACCGAAGTAACTGCTCACGCATATTAAGACTACTGAGAATTTTCCTACCATGCCAAATAATGGGCTGATATCGTATTAGCAAGTTGCCAAGCCAGGCAAAAACAAAATGCAGTTAGTTAACTGTGTTTTTGTGCAAATCTCTGATAAAAATCATTACTGTCGGACAAAAGGAACACAACAGCAGAAGGTATGGGAAGAAATGTTAGCTAATGAAAAATATATTGATTCGTATGTGTAACTTTAAAAGAAGGGATAAACAAGTCAGTTAAGAAAATAACCTGAGCCACTGAGACCAGTAATCCATACAACACATCCCTTTTGATTCAGTAGTTTCTGCCTATCGACCTTCCCAATCTGACATTCTTGCCAAAATACATTTGTTGAATTGTTCAAAGTAGACATCTACTTATCTGTTCTGTCCTACTGAGCGCACTAAAATCATTGAAAGGTAAGAAAATGTACTCAAATTCATTATTTACAACGAGGGAAAACACTTATAAACACTTACTTAAATTTAAACTACAATTAAATTGCAATGGGGATAAGATTAGCTATTTGCAAAAGAAAGTTAACACTAGTCGTGTAATAGTTGATTGTTGGGTTGTTGCTTGCTCCACCATTAATTTTATTTCGTTTTATTTATAAGAAACAGAACTGATTAACAGCTTCATAAGAATCAAAGTTGTGAAAAGGTTTCCACTACAAGCAATACAAAGGACAATTTCCTATCAACATGGATGACAAAGACTATTTAAGCGCAGCCCTCCAATCTGCAAGAATATCAGCAAACGAATCCAAAATCTTACTCTAATCCCAAAAAATTTCCTCCCCAACTTCTCTATAATTTTCATAAAATCCGTTTGCTTTCTCTCTAGCTATGACCAACCCATATTACCATTTTGGTTTTCCTCCATAGTAAGAACTCCTCTCTCCATGCCCCCCCCCCCCCCCCAATATGCAATTTTCAGGAATTTCAAACGAACAAGAAAACTACGAAGCAATAAAAATTGCAGAAGTAATTTATTGTCCAAGAACAACAAACCCAATGTACCATTAACAGCTATGATGATTTCAAAATCCATATTAAAAATAACAACAAAAGATCAGGATCCCAATAACTCAATTGTCAAAGCCTACATTAGGAGCATTATAATCTACCGAAAAATATAGCATGACCCATCAAACAAACAGCAATCCAAAACCTAAATAAACAGATAGAGAAAGAGAAAGCAAAGAATACCTGACAGGTGTTTGATTATTTGCCTGAAAGAAGAATAAGATGTCGGAGGTTTGGGAGGGAAGGGTTAAATGGAAGAGGAAATGGCCAACCATGCGCCCTGTTTTCAAGGCATCTCATTTGGGGTTTTGCCTTTTTTTGGCTACTTTGGGGGTTCGGAATGAATCTGGACGCATCCTCCTCCTCCATTGCCTACTCCGAGTCTATGACGTCGAACTCACTCCCTCCACTTCCTCTCTTGGACTTTGGTTACATTTTCTTCTCCGCGTGTGACCATGTATGCCAATGTACTTGAGTGAAGTGGGTCCACTTTTGTCGTTGCATTTGCTGACGGGACATCATTTCAAAGGTTGACATAGGTGCTGACGCTGCTACCACTTTGTCATACTTGTGAGAGCATCCCTTCCCAACGTGGCAGTGTTCATTTGTTTTCTTAATACAAGAACCTCCCACCTAATGTGTAATAAACACGTTTATCAACGTTTAAGTAATAAACCAATCATCAACTTTCATGTCTTTTAGTTTTCAAAATTGTCTACAAATTTAGTCTCCCTAGCATTACTCTACGGGTGCGTTTGTTGCACCGGACTATCTCAGACTTGATTAGCTTTAGGGACTAAACTGGATTGGCTTAGACTAGACAAACTGGACTAACTTAGTGAAGCGTTTGGTGCAGTGTCAGACTAAAAAGCAAGATAATTAATAAACTATAATATTATATTATTTATTGTATATCTAATATTATATTATTATTTTATTTATTTTATTATTTTATGAAATCATCTACCTCTCTCTAATGGCCAATATTTTTTAGAATCATCTCTCACAAAACCTATTTTCCTCCGCCACTCTCTCCATCCCCTCTCCCAGTTTTATCATTTTTGTCTAGAATATCTATCTCTCTCTCTAACAAATTCTAGAAGGCACGACAAATCAATTCAAAGATTTCGGTTTTGGTCGAATTGGGGTCTGGGTTCTTGGTGGGGGTTGAACCCAGATGAGAAATGAGCCATTTAGGTGGGTTTTTTTTTGGGTGTTCTGGGACAAATTGGACGACGGCTTGGACAGCTGGACTGATTAGGAAGGTTACTTTCTTTATCTTCCTCTTATGGTGTTTGTGCTTGGATGTCGGTGGGTTTTATTTTTGGGTTATGCGTCGGATTCCATCAATTCAGAGAGAAAGAAGAGAGAGAGATAGTTGTTAGCTTTGGAGGTGGCTGTTGGTTTGGGAGGTGGGTGGCTAAGGGTAATTGCAGACTTACTCTTCTGGGTTTTATGGGAGATGGGGAAGTCTACAGTCGTTGATAAGACGGATGAAGTAAGAAGGGGTGAAGCGGATTAACAGTCCGCTCAATATTGGGGGGTCTCGCTAAGACCAGCTAGAGAAGCCTTTAGTCTGGGTGAGTCCTTTCTAGTCTCATTAAAACTAGTCTCAGCGCCTAACAAACACGGGATTGGACTAATACTTAGTCCAATCCAGTCTAGTGAAAGCTAGTGAAGGCAAACAAACGCACCTTACAAGTAATAATTAGTATAAAACTCGTTATCTAATGAATTAGTATATGACTCGTCATTAACGAGATTCGAACATAGAATCTCTTACATACTCACTTGTCCTTTAGCTTCTGTTTTCTCTTTAATTACTTTTTTGGGTTTGTTCCTGAGAAGCCTTAGAAATGACTATGTGTGTGTGTGTTGGTATGTAAATTCCTTAGTGGCATGCTTTTATGTGTCCCTAATGGTGAGGGGTACCTCCCGAGGAAACCCTGGACACCCTTAGTTTGGCATGACGCCATCACACTTTGATTCGTGCATGTAGCCATAACCTTAATATCTCCCCTACTGCATTTGTGTGGTTAGGAGATCCCACTGAAATTGGTTTTCAAAGAATTTACAGACTTTGTGTGGTTAGGAGATCCCACTGAAATTGGTTTTCAAAGAATTTACAGACTTTGTAAGGCAGAGGTTCACAATTAAGAACTTAAACATTCTTGCATATCTTTTGTAGTATCATCCCGATGTCAGCACCGATTCTCAAGCTGGCGAGGTATTCAAGAGCATCCCTCAGGCGTATGAAGTGAGTAATTTCTAATAATAATAAGTACCTTTTTTTTTATCTAATCTATCTAGTCTAAATATCATCGAGTAAGCCTCTTTGTTGTTGAACCCATTAATAATAAGTTGAAGAACCAAGGATGAAATGGGCATTGTACAATACCCTGTCTTATTTGAACCTTCAGTCTGTTTCTTTCTTTTACTCTTTGTATTCTCTCTGAGTCTGGAAATGCTTTTCCAGAAACAAGGGGTTTACAGAAATAGCGTCTGGAAGAACTTGGGTAATGATAGAATCACTAGATTCCAAGAAGTGCATTTCGTTTTCCGTAAACCCATTGTTTTTTTTTTTTTTTCGCATTTTAATTTTTCATTCATGTTTAGTAGACGCAGTGAGAGAACCTGAATATTACCTATAAAAAGATTCTATCCAATGAAGCAACCAGGAGTCAGTATGACCGGGAACTTAGATTACAAAAGGATACTGGTAGGCAATGTAGTGCAAAATGGAACTACAGTACTGAATTTGAAGATGGAGTAAGGATCTATAAATGGGCTGAAGTGCGGCAGAAAATGCAACGGGAGAGATACTGGGAACCTATAATGTCAATGAAGAGAGTTCGTTCATATGGTAAAACTGAGGAGATCCAGCCCAAGAGAGAGGTTCCTTGGGCGAAGTTCTTTAATCGACCTTTTTATCTCTATTTCTATTGCAGACATTTGGATCTTGGTTATCTCTCACGTTTAGCAGCCTGATGGCCTTGTTTGAAGGAAGTTGGATGCTAGATACAAGATAGGTTATGTAATTGCGTGGGTTTATCTTGCTCACTTTGATCCCATCGTTTGCAAGTTGGGTTTGTGGGAAAACCAGCAACAACATGGTTGCTCTAGTGGTGGTAGCCATGTTGGTTAGCTCCGCTCTTATCTCGCAAGATTTGCATCACTTCCACAGGGCGCTCTTCTTACACTTGTGTACATGTCGATTAAGCTACAAGTTGATTTGAAGTTTGAACTGAAAGAAAGGTTGTTGCTTTATCTCCAATGTGATGTTTATATGTTCTCCCCATTTTTCTTTTCTTGGTTTATAGAATTATGATGTTGTACATATGTTATATATGGCAATGATGTACGCTGGTTCTTTGCAACGGATTTAGATGAAAAGTTTGGTTCTGCAGACGACGAGTATGGATCGATCTTTTTGGACTAAATCTACATTGTCTAGCAAGCAGTACTGTATTTTGTTTTGGTAAAGACTAAGAATACAAATCTCTTTTCTGGGGAATAAGGCCATCTCCAACCGATGGCTGGCCAGAGGGCTCGTTTTAGCCCTCTGGCCCTCCAAGATCCTCCAAAATATTAATATTTTAATGAACAAAACATGGCCATATTTGCCTCCGTCTCCAACCGAGGGTCAGATGGCTAAAGGGCTCGTTTTAGCCTTGTCACAAAATACCGTCTTCAACCGAGGGCCAAAGGGTCATAGGGCCAAACATAATTTATTATTTAAAAACTACAACTTAAATTCCAATCCAATGGCCAAGTGATGTCAGCATGATCTTGTTGCACATCTTTGGGCCCAAAGAAGCATGGAGTAGGCATTTAAGTTTTATGTTTTTAAATGTTTTTAAAAATGTTGTTTAAGTTTCATGTTGTATAATTTTTATGTTGGTTAATGTTATTTAATGTTGTTTCATATTGTTTAATGTTGTTTCATGTTGCTTAATTTAATTTAATGTTGTATAATGACTTAGGAAGTTATAGGAAAAAAATAGAAGTAAAAAAAAATATGAAACAAATTTTGTGAAATAGAAGTTATAGGAAAAAATGGAATTTAAAAAAAATATGAAACAAATTTTGTAAAATAGAAGTTATACGAAAAAAAATATGAACCAAAATTTGAAAATATAAGTTATAGGAAAAAAGTTATAGCAAGTTATAAAAAAAAAAGGTTTAAATTCATAAAAACAAAAAAAAATTTGAATACAACGGCTAGTGACTGGCTAGCCGTTGGAATTCAAATTAGTGTCGGTTTTAACCGACACTATTCAAACTGCTATTATATTAACATTGCTATTAGTATCGGTTATAACCGACACTAATAATATTGTATATATTATTTCTGTCGGCTATAATCGACAGAAATAACAAAACATTAAAAAAAAAAAAAGGCTAGCTGCAGCCAGCCCTCCAGCCCTCTCCGATTCCATGGGGCCCTTCCAGATTCTAGAGCCCTCTGGCCTAGCTCTCGGTTGGAGACGATTTTCGGGCTATTTTCAACCCTCTGACCCTCTGGACCATTCGGTTGGAGATAGCATAAGAACTAACACTATACATTTGCCTTTATCATCAACCTCCTCACCCGTGAAACGATAAAAATTAGGAAAAAGTAAAATAAAATCAAGAAGATTGATTTGCATGGTTTTGCAATAATACCCTCGATTAGAAAAAAAAAAAAAAAAATAGACAAGCATGTGCATGTACAATTTGGTAATCAACAACTAACATTTTACTTTGCCTTCATTCATCTCCTTAAAATTCCTCCACAAGTATTTCCCGCTGGCCATGTCCACAAATACCCAGAAGCCATTCTGAATCATCTGAAAATTCAAAAACCAACATTAATAGAATGAGAGAGAGAGAGAGAGAGAGAGAGACATATAAAATATTACTTGAATGGAATAATAAATAAAGAACAAAATGGAGGAGGAAATAAACATACAAATTTAAAATTGAATGCTTCTTGTTCATGTTTGGATGATCCCATATTTTCATTAATGTTGGTAGAATCAAGCTGTGAGGAGGTTATGATGTCGGTTCCGGAGGGAGAAGAATGAACCGTCCTCCATGCAAAGTATCCTGCAAGGATTGCTGAGAAGAACAACAAGATGAACCTTAGAGGACACATCTGGTTGATTTGTATGAGAGAGAGAGAGAGAGAGAGAGAGAGAGGGGTTGGATGAACCTGTTAGACCAAAAACAAAAACCCTAACTAGCTAACTAGTTGTATTTTCAAGGGAGATGGAATATTAGGCCGATAACAGAGACAACCAAAAGAACGAAAGCCCTTGCTTTTTTAAGGTCGATGATATCGAGGGAGGGAGGGAGGAGTGAAACCGCGTTCTTGAAAGGAGAGAAGTTTCTTCTTCTTGAGCATATGTATATTTGATGCGTCATTTCTGACTTGGTACGTTGAATTGTACAGTTCAAAAGCTATCGAGTTGTCAATGGTGGGTAGGTTACCTACTGCTCTTCCTATTCTTGGTCAACGGTTATATATATATTTATTTATTTATATTACTTGAATGTTTGTATGTATCCATGCCATCCCGGACATAGAGATAAGACTTTAGAGGTGTGCAATCCACTACCACGTAAGGTCGACAAGTCCAGCCGGCTAAAGTAAATCTGATTTTGACCTGGTTTATTATTTAGCAATGTCACTGAACGATTCATTGTTACCATGTATTGATGGTCATTGGGCAAAAAAAGTTGGGTTTGGACTATCCATACCCATTAACTAAATAACAAATAATAGTTCATAATTCATCATACCCATCTATTAACTTAATGGGTCTAACCTGCCCACTTAAAAGACAAGTGGTATCGGTGAAATCTACTTGGTTATGGCTACCCAGGTCCAAGTTAATGGTTTTCTAAGCTGTTTTTTTTTTTTCCATTTTCTTTACAAGTACAGTTTTAGGTCCAATACTTTAGTAATAAAAAATAGTTTAAAAACAAAAAACAATGAAAAAGATTTAAAACCTAAAAAGCCCAAATATTTTCTCATTTTAGTTATTAAATGTTAGATTCGTGTATTCATCAAGTTAAAGTTGTATCTGCTGATCATGATACGCATTTGACAACATCCGACAAGTATCGTATTTGATAAAGTATCGAATACGAAATAATCCACAACAAAAAACCCTTTCAGGAAGAGTGTGAGGGGTAGGAATTGATCATAGATTGTGTGGTTTCTAAGAATTTGAGTTGGAGCAAAACCATAAGTGTGGAGATAAAAGTGCGGCATCTGGTGGTGGAAGGGTGGCCCATCGCAACGGAGGTTTACTCGGTTGAGGGGAGAGAGGGTGTATGAGGGAGTTGATAGATTGAGAAATGACATAAGACTATGACAACAATGGTAGATCCAGGATTTGAATCTTGGGGGTCCCATTGTTAAACATCTAAGTTTTTTAGATAGAAACATAGCGCGAAGCGTGCAAAAACAATTCAGTTTATTCCGTGAGGCATTTCGTCAAACACTTGGTGGATTTGTCGTCGTCAGTAGAACCAAGTTGCACACATGTCAACATTATATTGACATATATGTCGAAGTAATCTGATGAGTGCTATAGAGAGAATTTGTTGAGTGTTGTCGATGCAACATGCGAAAGGCATTTCGTTAAACACTTAGTAGGCACAAAAATGACCTACCAAACATTCAAAGGTCCTTAGAAGGTCTACACATGTATATTTCTCGAACTTCGGATGGTCCTAGGACCACCCTCTGTGCATCTGCCACTGCAGAACTATGAACGGTTTCAATTTTAGGTTTCTTAGGTCATCTCCAACCGAATGGTCCAGAGGGCCAGAGGGTCGAAAATAGCCCGAAAACTATCTCCAACTGAGGGCTAGGTGTGACAACCCATTCATAATTTTACGTTTTTATTAATTTTAAAAGCGTGAATTTACGAAAATGCCCTAAAGACAAGGACTTTGACTTCCGTTGACCCAAAGGTTTGAGAGATGTATGACTTATTCTTTTAGCGTATCCTTGTAGTACTCGTTGGTACGAACGCTTAGGCGAAAGCCGTTTGTAAGTCCGGATTATAACGGTATAGTTATAGACGTTTGAAAATGGTTATTTAAAGTTTAGTTATAAATTATTTGAATTCCCACCTTGTGGGAAAGTGGCCTGATAAGATTAAAAGCACACCACAAAGTAGAACATAAATATCCTATTGATTTTTCTTATTAACACTAAGCTTTGTCAATTGTAGCATATGAAAATAAGGGTATTTCCCGTAGAAGATTGTTTTATCTAACTACTTAAAATGTCACATAAACTGTGCTGCAGTCCCTACTGGCCAGCCACCGAAAAATAATTATTAGACCAACTTACACTTATCTAAATTCTCCGAAATTTTACATGAAGACACTAGACACAGAGCTATGCTCATACAAATTTTTGGGATTTTTGGAGTTGATATTCTATTTAAATTAAATCGAACAAAAATAGGACAGGAACAAATTTTAAATAGTTCACAAATTAAGAAAAACGAGTTAGGGGATATTCACCACCATATAATCATGCAAACATGTTATGTTTCATTCAAATTCCTTTTATTTTCGGATGAAGATGCTCAAGTTGGCTCAATGTTAGAACTCAACCTATTACTCTTTCTTATGTAGTATGTTAAGAGAATGGCGTTTTCAACTTAACTTAGTCCCTAGCATGCAATTTAGAATGGTGTGTTCATAGATTTAACAAGTAGAAATCATTAAGAACGAAAAGAGTTTAGTCATCACAAGGCATCGTAAGTACTGGCATTGTCTTACTTATCCTAGAAATTGGTTCACATGTTAATCGCAATTAACAAGTACTACTCTAGAACATATGTAGGTCCTCATTCGACAAGGGCAGACACACACATATTCATAGCGTTCAAATCCTAGATATACTTACTAAGTATGCATCTGTAGAAAACACATAAAGAATTCATCAATGAGACAAGTAGTGAATCAATTTTCATCCATTCATAAAAGTAATTCAAACAAAATGTCATAACAAAGTTGCAATCATATTTGGAGCTTCAAAACAGCCCCTAACTACTAAAAATTTAGTTACACACAATCCTTAAGTTAAAACAAAAGATAGACATGAGTTTGAGAAGATAGAACCGAAAGAAATCGACTGAGGCCTCCTCCTCTCTTTCCTTCCTTCCCAACGCTGGTTTTAAACCAATTCTTGCTGCATCATTTTCTTCTCCTTAACTCACCCACTAATAGCCATTTAGTGATGACAATAAGTGAGAGGAAATGGTAAAACAATTGTAACTCTTTGGGTAGCCTTTATGACAATTACTCCTCCCTAATCCTCATCTTTAATTCCATTCCCTTTTATATTTGAATAAGTGTCAGCTGACTTGTTCTTAGCTGCATTAGTTTTGGCTACTACATTTATTGGGTTTATTGCTTTCATTGCAGTTACAAACTGCTCAGCCTCTTGGTAACCTATCAATGTTAAAACGGCCATAACTTTTTCTAGACAAATGATATTAACAATCCGTGAAATGCTCCAGAAAATAGACATCCGTAGCTTTCCAAGTATATAAGGCTCATTCTCTAATTCATTATGAGATGTTCGAAACTTGCTTCTAAAGTCAGCTGATCTGCACAGGTAGTTTTGACGAATTTGTTACTTAAAATCCCACTTGTGCTATTTTTCTTTTATTTGCTTGACAAATCCCACAAAACACAAAAACAAAGTAAATAGCTCAAAAATATAAGGAACTAACTAAGAAAAGACAAGTGACTTTGATGTAAAATTGATGCCGTTGACGAATACGAGCCGGACACAATGAACAACTCAAGAACAAGTATCTATTGTGCTCATGACGACACCAAAGATCTCGTGCAACACGAGCCATTGGAACAGGATGGACGTTACAATCAATTGATCGCTGAACAATACACTTCATTGCAAGAGCCATACTAGTTGTACCCGTCAAAGTGACGTGATTGAGCACTAATGGGGATTGCAACAAGGTCAAGATAATTAAAAGGATCTCGTGGTGGAACAATAAAGTTCTTAGTTTATTTAGTGTTTTTTTTAAGTTTACTTGATGAGTTTATGTAATTTTATTTAGTGTGTTTTTTAAGCTTATTTGATGCGTTTATGTAATTTTATTATGATAATGATACGTGGCGTGACGAGATTGGTTAAAAATCCTATCCGAAACTAAAACAATTATTTATTTATTATTTTATAAAAAAATTAATAATATTTAAATGGGTTGTGTGCCAGCGCATTTTGTAAGGGTGAAGATACATTTGCTCTAAGTGGCTCGTTTGTTTGAGTGGATAGCATGTTAAAAGTTCTACACACGCTTAGGCGTACCACGTCATCCATATGATTGAGTAGTTAGGTCTACCACCATGCTTAGTAATACAGGTGCATTGTTGCCCATCACTCTATTTATCACGATTCAATGAGTTTAAATTTTTGTGTCTATCCACTATATATAGTTTGTAATTTATATCATATAACATTGATAAATAGAATTATGAGTATTACTATCACTTAAAAGTAATGAGCAAAAATATTCCCAAATAATACATATAGTACATATAAAGGACTTCATATAACTGCCAAGGAATCCGAATACCCATTAATATTTGATTCATGGGAAAAATATTAATGGGATAAACTAATGATCAATAACTACGTTCAGTATATGATTAATATCATTTGCATTGAATATTTTGTTCTTTAACTTCTGAATGATTAAGCCGGTCAGGTCTCTGTCAGTGTAAAGGACGACGTCACTTGTTGATTGGTAAAAAGAATCTAAAGTGCTACTCCAAATGGATGGAATCTCTATCCTGCTGTGCGGGTGGTAGACTCTGATATTGATTTCCATCAAAGATTCTTTATCACTAGTGATTCCATAGTTTCCATGATCTTCACCAATATTTTGGCCCCATTCTATATCTACCATCCATTCATTAGTAGTTAGTAGATATATGTCCAACTATGTGATGTTTTCTTATCAGAAAGTTGTTATAGTTAAATTGTGAATCCGAACCATTATTTATGTCAGTTCTCGTCTCTAATCCTTGCGTACTTCTTTAGCTTTCTTATCAAATTACTCTTTTAAGGTTATTTTGTAATTTTCTTATTAACTTTTTCGGTTTCATTTGCAAATTCAAAAAGTTAAAGATAAAAAGAGAAACAATTATTTGGCCAACAAGTGCAAGAGTTGGGGTTTTATTCGATCAACTTTGTTGTATATAAAGAGGTTCTGGCTTAGTTAATCATAAGTGAAATGGGGAACAAATTCCCTAATTTTGACCCCAAATCATGGGAATTAAACACCAATCAATCTGTATTTTCTTTTGCCATATATTTGCTATTCACATTGTATACGTATTTTTGACGTTACCAAGAAAAAAAATTATATGAGTCATTTTCTAACAATTTATAAAAACGAAATTCTAATTTATCTGTAACATCGAAGAGTGATCACTTTTTATGCGCATGATAGAACTAATTACGAATAAATGCACAGGCTCCACTACACAGAATTTACGTAAGCAGCAAGCTTCTTTGGATGTAGAGATAAAGCCAGGTAGGGTTACAGGGCTTAGTGGGAATGGTAATGCAATGCTTCTTTTGTGTCTTGTTTTTATCTCGTTATCGCTTTAACTTGTTGGCTTGGCAACAAGGGATATATATGTAAGACTTAGGCGTATTACGTTACGTAGTGGAATGATGGAATCCAACCTTTTGACCCTCGGCCTCCATTCTATTGGCTTCACTTAATTTCATCCCTCCTTTGTAAGCAAAAACAAAAGCACTTCATTTCCCTCATCCTAATGCTTTATTATACCCCAGTATAACAACAACCACTTTAGCTTTTTGACTTGTCCATAATATATTAAGAAGAAAATAGGATTACAGTCTAGTGGTATTCTTCTTCACTTGTAAGTGAGGGTTTTAAGTTCGATTTTCGCCAAAAGCGAATTTGAACTACATTATTGCTAGCTCATTGTAAGGCTAAGCCTACATTCCATTCCCTAAGTGTAGATAATATCATTTGTTCAAAAAATAAAAATAAATAAATACTCTTTTTCTCTGTTAATTCTGTAATGAAATGAGATATCCATAAGAATAATCTATGACAATCAAGAGGGGATCAAAATAAGAGAGGAAAAAACCCAAACAAAATTATAATTTGGTTAGCATAAAGTCTCGAGTTTAAATTATGCCTAGGCCAGTCGTGTGAGCAGTTGCATTTGTTAGAACATATGTGCTCCTTGTTATGTATAAGGTTCTAAAAAATGCTAAGCGCTAGTCCGGCGGTAAGCTGGCACCTAGCGGCTAGGCGGACGCCTAGGCAACCTAGGCGGATTTAAGTAAATTTCTTGTAAATAAGTGCATATTAACACTTACAAAAAATTATACTTATATGAAATCCATGGATATAATAATAAAAGAATGCTGAAATGCAAAAAAAAAGTATCCAACAAGTCCAAAATTTAAAAACGCATTAAGCATATATGTCATATAACCATAGTGAAGATTATTGTAGGATGACACATGTACAATAAGTTCACAATTTAAAACCACATAAAATGTAAAATAGGAGGAAATATAAGAAAATAAGTAAACAATATCGGAGTGTTTCATTAAAACTCCCTAGTTTAAGTAAACTATCTTTATATATATAAATTATATCTAAATAGGAGTCATATTTAGCTCTAGCTAGCTATATACAAATCATTTGTTATTTGTGACCTACCTGTGGAACGTAGGGTGTGTCATGTAAGACCTAATCTTTCTCATACAATCAAACATTTTGATGCCTTTTTAATCTATATTATCAATCAAATGACTAAGTGCAATTAGTCTAGTCTTCCTAGCTCGAACATTTTGTTTTGTTTTTATTTAGGATTTTAAAATAGAAAGTCACACGCATTTGGGTGACGTGAGAGCACATACCTTAGCTATTTGGGCTCAACATATGAGTTAATATATTGTAATAATAATACATATATATGGTGAAAGTTGAAATTCTACCCTAAAACTAATTGACTATTAATAAAAAATAGCCACTCAACATAGGAAAAGAATCGACAAAAAAACTTAACAAGTACTTTATTTTTCTTCACCTTTTGAAATAGGGAGTTTTAACGAAAAGTCCACGGTACTGTTCATTTTAACAAAAAACCATATTTTTACACTAAAAAGTCAAACATGATACTATTCATTTTACCCTTTATTTTGTCCTTATCACTAAAACTCAAAGTTTTCAAGCCCTTTTCATTAGTTTTTCTTTTGAAATAATTATTAACACATTTAGTGCTGTTTATTTTGAAATATACAAATAAAAGGAGAAAAACAAGATTCTATTTCGAAGTAACGAAGTAACGAAGTTTAGCCATTCAAATATCTGGTATAACTTTTGGCCAATGATTATATTCAGCCTCGTGGCCTATATCTCTACCTTGTTAGCAGAGATTCTACACTCAAATCTCATTTACGAAAGTTTGTTGTGTTGTTGAAAAAAAATTGCATACATATACTTGAATGTGACCCAAAGTTTCAAGTATATATGGATTGAACTCTAAAGATTTAATTTTCTATTAAAAAAAACTCTGAAGATTCTATTATGTTCTTAATCTATGGGTCAAATTTATTGTGAAAGTTTTTGTACTACAGTCTATTAGTATTCTTCTTCGCATTATAAGTAAGATGTCGTAAGTTTGATTTTTGCCACCAAAGGCGAATTTGAATCAAATTATGACTTGTTCATTGTGAAGTTTAATTCACTTCTCTATCATTTAATGTAGATAATATTGATTATTTAAAAATAAATTATAAAAATGTGTTCCTCCTTTTATTTTTCTTATTAATTTCAGGACATGTCCATTTCACGCCATGTGCATGCATGAAATAAGGTCAAACATCAATCTCTATTTCCACAAGCAGCATACTAGTCCATCTACGCTCTCCATATAGTTAAAAACTTAATGTTTATGATATTTACATCCTATATCATAAAGGTACGTGCCAGTATGATAGGTGAAGCCAATAAAATCCATTTGTTGATACACAAAATCAGTGAGGACTTTGGTACAACAGAAAGTGTTAAGTTTGTGACCTCCGCTAGATTGCTCTGTTTATTAGTGTGGATAAGTATGTAAATGGCTAGGGACAGGGAAGCAAACACAAGATGTACGTGGTTCACCCAGATTGGCTATGTCCACGGAGTAGAGGAATTCTCATTAATTGTGAAGAGTTTACACAAGTACATAGGTTCAAGCTCTCCTTTAGTGAGTACTAGTGAATGATTTAGTACAAATGACATTAGGAAATATTGTGAGAGAATGATCTCTATTTATAGAAGAGAGTTTCTAGTTTCATTCTGACATTGACACATGTCGTGTTGTGATTGGCTTATGATGTCGACACGTGTTGCACTATGATTGGTTTATGATGTCGACACGTGTCGCGCTGTGATTGGCTTCCTGGTTGGAGGGAAACTCTTTTGGGTCCTTGACGGTAACGTTGACCGGTGCTCAGTAGTTTCGGGATTGGTCAAGTATGGTACAAACACCATGAATTGCTACATGTTCGTATACGACATTAACCATTCAATCGGGTTTCATTCTTCACCACATGAATCATGGAGAAATACATGAAAGGAAATTTTGGGAAGATGTATCTTGCATGCATGCATGCATGCGGATAATGAACCCTAATTTGAGCAGGATAGTGCTATCCACACATCCATATATGTTTACTTCTCACATACTTCTCTCAATTTTCGACTGTCCGATCGAATGAATTGAAGAAGATCAATAGACAAAAATTGTGGACATTGCTTGATGATATGGGATGAAGACATTTCAATCAAAGGGAAACTCCAATCCATGCCACCGTGCGGAATCAGTTAACGTGGTGTAAATTCGAGCAACATCACCATGAGACGTCGATCAATTAAATTTCTTTTCTCTTGTATGACTTTAACCTAAATTATGATGAATGTGAATTTATTTAGACACTCAACATTATCATATTTTTGTTGACACATTTTTTAATACTGGCGGATCTATATATAATAGTACGATGCACATTTTTATGTAAGATTACCTCTATTTGATACTTGAAAACATTGATAATTATATGTCTTAATTTTGTTTGTCGAAATAAATTGTTATTATTATTAATAAAGTTACATAAGGTCATTGTTAACTAAAAGAAATTGATTGGTTAGATCAACAACTTGAAGGAGATTCTTTTGATCATTAAATTGTCGTGATTTGAATAATGCGTATCATGGTTTCCTTTATTGCTTGAAACTTGCCTTGTTTTGTATCTTTCAGCTGATATTACCTGAAAAATCAAAGATTTAAGAAAATCAATCTCTCTCACTCTCACCACGTAGCATACCAATAATGGTGTGTGCATGTTGTTTTTTTAGTACAACGATATATTTTACATTAAAAGGAGAAGAAGTTTGGTTAAGCCACACATCATTGTTTTATACCCTACTTAGAGTAATACTAAATATTTAAGAATAATGTGTGGAAATGAATGGGAAGGTGGCAGTGTCAAGTGTGATCGTGTGTGGGAATCTAAGTGGTACAAAATCCAACAGGGGTAGGAGCATCGTATATATTCGTATTCCTGTCATGTGAGATGGAATTAATCATCATCATCATCACTTTAGAACTCGTTTGGATGTGCTTATAAAATGATTGAAAGCACTTTTAGTGAAAATATTTTTGAAATTAATCTTTAGTAAAATCCAAGTGCCTTGGAAAAGCATTTAAGTGTTTCCCTTAAGAAGTACATATCTGGTGCTTATTCCATAAAACATTTAAAGTGCTTCTTCCAAAAAAGTATTTAAAGTGCTTTTGGAACCCAAAATTAATTTCACTAAAAATATTTCCAAACGAGCTCTTACACTTTCCAAAATGATATGACTATCTTCTTTATATATACAATTACACACACACATGTGTGTGTGTGTGTCTATATATATATATATGCGCGCACACAAGTCTCAACTCTGAAGAATTCCATAGTAGCAATAGCTAGAGAATTGGATTCTACTTTTGTCGCAATTCCCTCGGTTTTACTCATATATGCATTATCGACATCGATATATATTTATATCCACACTTCAAATTCGACTCTCTATCAGTAGTCATTTAACTACAACATTTAAGCTCGATTGATCAGTGTTGGCTGCCGCTGCATTTCTGGTTCCTCCTGTTGGTCTCTCTCCCTCTCTCTCTCAATTAGTCCGTGTATATATGTATACATATCTACACATGCACATATATATTCTTCCTTGTCTCTCTAAATTCCACTACAATTCTTTGGCTGTTGATCTGTATTGGTTTTGGAACCCTCGTGATTTTATCATCATCAATACCAATTTCGTACTGAATTTGCTTAAGGTTAATATTTCTTGCAAGCACGTAACAAAAGAGTTGACGTATAAAAAAAGGTACATGCACCTTTTCTTGAAAGAAAATGGAAATGGAAAATAAAAGTTGAAAGGAAAACACTGAAGCTAATTCACATGCTAGAGAATTACGTGTTAAGAAGCTAATTCACATGTCTTAAATACGTACCTAGTATTTATTTATTATATGCGAAGAAATATCTAGGTATAAAGTTTGCTTGAACTGCACACTTGAAAGGCTGAAGCACCTTGCTGTTATATGGCTTGTTGATCCTTCTGTTTCTGCAAATCTCAGAAGCATTTCTTTCATCTTTCCTTTGTGTTCTTTCTTTTCTTTGGAGATAAAAGTGATCTTAGAAGTTTCTGAGCATGGAATCATGCTTTTTAGGTGATTATCAGTAAGGCACTTACTTTCCAATATGCAAACATTCGCAGGTAGGTCGTCTACACCACATGACTTTGTCTATCACATTGTTTTGTTTGATTTGTCACTATTTACTTTTGGAAAATGAAAAGATATTGTACTTGTGCTTGTGCATTGTGTCGTGGTGTGCACATAATTGCCAATATGTTATAAATGCATGATTGATGTTGCTTAATTAGAATACGGGAGATTGGCAAAAAAGGTGAAGACTAATGTGGGTTAGACACTTTACTGTACTAGTGCTGCTGTTTAATTATAGATAACTAGTGCAATTGATCATAATCAAGTATTATGAGTGTGAGAAACTTCAAGTTAATTAAGTACTGTAAATCGTTGAAACTATGAAAATAGTAACCTTAATAATCAATTACTTTAATCTCTTCAGAAAAATATAACTACTTGGCTAAGTTTCATGAACTTCAAAACAATTTTTCACCGAAATCAACACATATATAAAATGTTACAATAATCAGAGTGTGTTTGGAGAACCAGTTCTATGTTCGTAAGAGCAAATCGTCAGCAAGTACTGGCACAATTTTTATTTTTTTGATAAGTTTGTTTTATACATATAATATGCAGACTGGGGTTGAAGTTACTGAAATGTCATCCTTAATGGTCATTTACTTTGAAAAATTGTTATAGAGTGCAAATTGATGTATAATTCTTAATAATAGCTAGCTAGAGAAGCGAATTGAAATAGCTGAGCTTTTAGATTCTGAGACAGACAGTTGAAGAAGGAACAAAGATGAATGCATTAGTGGCAACCAACAGAAATTTTAAGTTGGCTGCTCGGCTTTTGGGATTGGACTCCAAGCTTGAGAAAAGTTTACTGATACCATTTAGGGAAATCAAGGTAATTATGCATATAATCTCCCTTCTGTATACCCCTTGGTCTTAATTATTAGTATATTTCACTCTAAAATTAATGTGGTTATTTTTCTTACATCCAGGGAAACATCAAGAACATTCATGGATTGTTATTGTTTAAACCTTAATACATAGTTGACTCAAACTTGTCACCAAATTTCTTATCAAACTAAAAGAAATTTCCTAACTGTTCGTCTATTTTCATTTACGCTTTAGCCATGAATATTTCAGTTTCAATTCCAGCATTTTCAGAAGATATTTCACATGTGTAACTGCATTTTTAATTCTAGGATACAATTTGAGGATATAGAAGATTATTTACTGAGTTTGAGTTTTCTCCTTTCATTGATTTTGAACTATATATTTCGGTGCAGGTTGAGTGTACTATACCGAAAGACGATGGCAGTTTGGCTTCATTCGTTGGCTTCAGGGTTCAACATGACAATGCTAGAGGCCCTATGAAGGGAGGAATCAGATATCACCCAGAGGTATATGCATACTTTGTTAAGTTTCACTTCGACAAATGCAAATGGTTGTCATGTATCAAGACTCATTGCCATGAAAGTGTCTCTAACTGTTATGGATCCATCTATGGAAAATGTAGGTTGATCCAGATGAGGTGAATGCTTTAGCACAGCTCATGACATGGAAGACCGCGGTAGCCAACATCCCGTATGGTGGTGCCAAAGGGGGTATAGGATGTGATCCAGGGAAGTTGAGTATTTCTGAACTAGAACGACTTACCAGAGTATTCACACAAAAGATACACGATCTTATCGGAATCCACACCGATGTTCCAGCACCAGATATGGGGACAGGTCCACAGGTTGAGCATGACACATTTTTCATTAATTCTTTACATGAGATTTGATCACTAGCTGAAGTTGCTAATTAATCAAGTTGATCAGCTTGAATGTCTTCTAAACTTTGGACTGAATTTTAGCATTTTTTTCTCTCAATCTTTTTCCTTTTTTTTTTTTGTTTAAACAGACCATGGCATGGATACTAGATGAGTACTCAAAGTTTCATGGCTACTCAACTGCAGTAGTGACTGGAAAACCTATTGTAAGTAAATCATAATAAAAAGTTACTTCAGTTAAATTGTCCTCCTTTATTCGATTCATGGCAATCTTGTCTTGCAATAGTTCATACCTGTGCTACTAATTTTGTTTGTTTTTATTGCGTAACATTCTGTAATTTTTTTTGTTAATCAGGATCTTGGTGGATCACTAGGAAGAGATGCAGCAACGGGAAGAGGAGTACTTTTTGCAACAGAGGCATTACTGAATGAGTATGGAAAGAGCATCTCCGGACAACAGTTTGTTATACAGGTGGACTTTTACTGAACACAAAAAGTTTGTATGGTTGAGAGTCTGAGACTTGAGCCTGGATTAGATTTCAATTGATTTAACTTGTTGTCTAAGCTAAACTAAATCGATTTCAGGGTTTTGGGAATGTAGGCTCGTGGGCGGCCCAGCTAATCCATGAGAGTGGTGGCAAAATAGTTGCAGTGAGTGACATCACTGGAGCCCTAAAGAACAGCAAAGGACTTGACATTCCAAGCCTGCTCAAGCATGTCAAAGACAACAAGGGAGTCAAGGGCTTCCATGGTGGAGATCCAATAGAACCCAGCTCAATCTTGGTTGAAGATTGTGACATTCTCATTCCAGCAGCCCTCGGAGGTGTCATCAACAAGTTCGTACTACATAATTCTAATTTCTAATAAGCAGTACGAAAACTACATCAAGATTTTCGAAACATAATGAAAATCCTGAAATTAATATGGCTAGCCATGATGATCCAACTGTTGTTTTTGAATGTAGGGAAAACGCAAATGACATAAAAGCTAAATTTATAATCGAAGCGGCTAATCATCCTACTGACCCTGAGGCTGATGAGGTTGGTGCTTCGTTAATTGCTTGACAATTAGATTTAGAGAGGGGACAATTAAAACACCAGTAATGTTTAATTAGTTAAAATGAACATTCTTTCCTCTATTTTGCAGATCCTGTCAAAGAAAGGTGTTCTAATTCTTCCTGATATATATGCAAACTCTGGAGGAGTTACTGTTAGTTACTTTGAGTGGGTGCAGGTATATATCATATACACCATATACATATTTTCAAAACATTTTAACTTTACAATACAATAGCCATGTTTATTATTTTAACCTCATGCTACTAAATTGGTGGTGCATAAATTGCAGAACATTCAAGGATTCTTGTGGGATGAAGAGAAGGTGAACAATGAGCTCAGGACTTATATGACCAAAGGCTTCAAAGGTGTGAAGGAGATGTGCAAAACACATAACTGCGACCTCCGGATGGGAGCCTTCACGCTCGGAGTTAATCGCGTTGCAAGGGCGACTGTCCTCAGAGGGTGGGAAGCCTGAGCCTAACCCTGAGACAGTTTGAATAAAGATGAGGGCTCTCTCATGAGACTCCATTTCGTTTTTACTGATTTGGTATTTTGCTACCGCATGGAAATAAATTCAACACAACTAATTTCGTAGTATTTCTGTGTTGCATAAATATGTTTCCCTTCCAAGCTTTATCATGAGATATGTATATGTTCGACAAATAAATTTCACCTACAAATAAATTGCACATGTGCCTTGCATGTAGGCCGGAAATTTATATAAACATGGATTTTAAGATAGCGAGCGTTCACTATTAGTTTCCGCTAATAGACGATGCATGTGATGGAAATTCCACTATTTAACTTTTAACCAAAAGATTGTGTCATTGATTGAGAGAAACTCAAGTTTAGGTTCTTTCTTTACCTTGTGGACTTTTCTCATGCAGATATTATAAAAATGACAAGATTGTTGGAATATGAATTGAATATAAAGTGGTTATATTCAATTGAAATGCTTGGAGATAAACAAAGAAAAACAGCTTGCACAAAAAGAAATATGTACAAACTGGACTGGAAACTTACAATCAAGTAAATACATGAGCAAATAAAACTATATTGATCAAGTGTGAAATGCCATCGGATTGGCTTTATGTTGATCGGATTGCTCTAAGATTGAGATTGAGATTGAGATTGGTATGGGATGAAAGGTTTATGGTCCAAGGGTTGGAAAATCCTTTGACAAAGAAAAGAGTTGATGAATTAAAAGTAAGAAGGCTTTTTATTTGTACTTGTGTTCTGATTGTTTGAGAGATTTATTGTCTCGGCTTCTTCATGTATGTAAGGAACAAAAGCATTTGCTAAGGAACAATTAAGCAGTTGATTTCATTTCCATGAAATGGGTGAATATTAAGGCCCTATTTACGAACGAACAACATTTTCAGGCCTCATTTGAAGATATTTTAAAAAAAGAAATGAATGACAACTTCTTTATTTTGTCCAATTGAAGAAAAATTCTCTCTTTTAAACCATTTTTGTAGTGACAAGTAATGTATCCTTTATTCATGAGTAACTTTCAACTTGGATAAAATATAGAGGTTTTCATCCATTCTTTTCTTTAAAATATGTTCATTGTAGCGAATTGTCATGTCCCATTTAGTCCTCCTTATCAAACGAGGCCTTACAGTTAAATTGTTAGCAAGAGGCGTAGCCGCGTATGCGGTGGAGGGGAGAGCGATTGGTGTTGTCAGGGAAAACAATGGCAAAGCCTGTAAATAAGTGTACACTTTGTGGTGGTTGTTTACTTGTTTAAGTAATTCACATTAACCATTTAAAATGTTAAAAGCATGACATTGTATTATTAGATTTGGATACTACAGTGACAATGAATTCGTTTAATGCAAGTTACTCTTATGAAAAAGGGTATTTTATAAAGGAAATAAATTTCACACGTCTCTTTTTATTTCTGACAATAAATTAAACGAAAATAACGGACATGATAACAGAGGATTGAAAGACTAATAAAAAATGTGCTTGATTTCCTATTTACAAATTTCTCACAACTTTGGAGAGCACTGACAGCAAATTTCCTTTTGACCAAAAAGTATTAACTTTTTTTTTCTTCCGTCCGACGCTTTAGTCATGAAAAAAGAACTCACCAAAATCACAATTATGTTATTGATTTCAACTCTTTTCAGGGTTCTGTTTAAAGGTGTGGTGAGCCAACCTAATGGTATCTTGAATTCAAACCATTCGTCCACTAAAGATTTCAAAGATATCTACCTTTTGTTAGCGGGTGAGGTATTGGAGGAAGTTAAATAAAATGGAAGATGAAAGATCCTTTTATGAAAATATACTAGAAAATGTGTGTGCCCTTCGCTGCGAAGATTGAATGTATTAGTCGCAACAAACATGCACAAAAAGATGCACTAAAAAGGCGGTAAGAACGGAATCACACCCTCAAATGCACCAACGCAGATAACACACACTAATGCCCTTTCATACAAACTGCAGGCCAAGATGCGCAAAAAACATTTGCATATTCCTTGAGGGAAAATTTCTAGGCTTTTGTTATATTATGTATTAAGGATAACCAAATTGTATCCCCTTAACACTAAATTTGTTCGAGTCACAATCCCCTTGCAAGGGTTGTAAAACTCAAAAGCTTACTGTCCAAAACCAAAATAACGTGTACCATTTTCATGCATGTGCAACATATGCCTTACACTGGAAAAACGTTTAAAATCAAATACAAATTTGTAAATCACGTACAAATTTTGTTTTACATTTTTATAATCAAGTAGCAAGTAAAATTACAAACTTTCAGCAATCTCAAAGCAGAAATTAAGATGCAAAGATATCCCCAAACATACAATATATTGTATGGAAGCAAACCGTAAAGGTTTGTGAAGCAAAATGCGGCATGAGGTTCCTCTTGAACAAATTGGAGGTACTTTAGCCTATGTTCCTCCTCCTCGGTCAAAACAATTACAAAAACATAGTAGTTTAACTAAAAAATGCATGATGAAATGGATAGTCTTCATGCAGAGAGAAAGTACTTTAAATTTTTTTATATAATATGAGACAACTATAAAAAATTATCTAGCATTTTTTCTTAGGTACATGTATAATAATACACAATTTGATGGGTGCCTAAGTAAATTTGTTAGGATTGTCAACTGGCTAAAACATATTGGAAAGTAATCAAAAGAAAGCACTTTTAGTTGGTTAACTATTATAAACAATGGAAATTAGTATGAAAGTACCAAACTAAATCCCAATTAAGACAAAAGGCCTGCTTGACCAAGTTTAATAAACCAACATAGATGAATTTATCTATCATTATTGTTTGTCGTATATTTGTAGCTTCATCTATCGTCTTTTCTAGACTTTCTCAAATTCTCTCACTACAACCTCATTCATCATTCAATGAATTCAGATTTCAGATATAGACAGAGGATGCGTTATTAACTCTAATCCTCACTAACCAACGAAACTTAAATGCTACTATTTTGCTCAAATTAAATAAATTGCACCCCTCTTCCCCATTTTCCACACAATTGAACACCTAAACAATGCAGCAAAAAACAAAAGAAGGGATAAAAGATTGTTACCTATGGTTAAATTTATTTACAATGAAAGTTGTTTTAGCTTTTTGAAAGAAGTTTTACATGAAAAGTATAAGGGGTGTGATATCCACACACCCCTTTTTACTTCTCCCACACCTTTTCGATTTTCGGCCATCGGATCGGATGAATTGAAGAAGGTCAACGGACGAAAATTAATATGGGGTGTGTGATAAGTAAAAAGAGGTGTGTGGATAGTACACCCCAAGTATAAAATGGGTGAATCAAGCTCTTGGAGCTCTTTGAACCACTTTATGAGCCTAATTGGTACAATTGAAAATGAAGAGTGTAATCAAACTTCATGAGCCTAATTGAAACAAATTAAAGACCATATTGAAAATGCATTAAAAGCTTATAATATGTTGTATAAAGCCATTGAACTTAATTTCAAGTTGCCTAAGAAAATGCCTAGTATATTTTGGCACTTGAGTAATCACCTATGTACATCGGTGTTCGCTTGCCTAACAAAAAAAAGAACAGAAATGAAATAAATTGCAATATATTTGGAATACTGGTGTATAAAACGTAATTTTCAAATCATATCCAAGCTAATTAAAATGCTAATCCCTTTCAATTAAGCTTGGGAGCCACTGATCATGACGTGTTATAAATAGGGAAAAAAAAACTAGATGAACAACAAAATGATGTCGTAATCTGCAGAAGATTAATACCTTGACTAACTAAATGAACCGAGAATGAAAACATCTAAAATTCTATTAATTAAGTACAATTACCAGAGGAAGCAGAATAAAATGTCAGAAGTGATACATTACGATAAGTTTGGTGGCATCAAAATCACTGAAAAAACATGCATAAACCCAACATGCATTAAATCACTAAGACTTGACTTCACTTGCTTGTCAAAATATAAAAAAATTCAAATAATATTGATTCCATAAACTTGTTCAAAGGAAAAAAAAAAAAAAATCCAATCACCTCTAAGGCTCTAACCATATGGTGGGGGACTTCCTCTTCCGCATTTAAATGGTGAATTGAAGACCGATGCTAGCAGTATACCAAGAGCAAGTGCAACTCGACTACGGCAACAAAAACACAATTGACTTTCACACTACATAAATAAATGATGAAATAACACATGCCCCCAATGCATTGTTTTTTTTTTTCTTTCTTTCTTTTGTGTAGTAATAAAAAAAGGATAACATTCCCTTGAAAACATATGACATACATATTATATTCCGTAGCCGGTCATTGATCATGCATAAAGAAATAACGCATGTCATTTAAGCCTCTGCACAAACGTAGAGAAGAGGAAAAATTTGTCTTCTTTTAAAACAAATTATCTCCTTGTACAAACCCATAGAGAAGAGGGTAAAATTGTCCTCTTCTAAAACAATTAGACTTCCTAAACGAACACACAGAGAAGAGGATAAATTTGTTATCCTTCAAAACAAATTTTTTGAGGGCACAAAAAAAATGACCTCCCTTTTCTACCGCCTTGATAAGAAAAAAAAAATCACACATTCATACACATATGAATCCAACCATGCATTTTAAACAAATGCGAAGACATAGATGGCTGTAGAGGTTTTTTTGCCAGTGACTAAACCAAAACCACCGGCAAACAAACAGTGCAAGCCACGTAAACAAACAAGTACATAGATGCAGCGACAAAATGAGGAGAGAAACAAATACGGACAAAGAAAATAACTTTATTAAAAAGAAACAGACATATAACCGCATAAACAAGCACGCTAGCATATACTTTAAAACAACCAAAACCAAGTCATAGACACACTTGATTTCCTTGTCCAGCAATCAAAATCAAACCACATCTATAAACCATGAAATACCGAATATGAATATAAAAGGTGATCGTCACCTAAAACTATATAAATTAGTTGGCAAGGAGCTGCAAAAGCAACAACAGACAAATGCACCAAATAACAACGAAAGCCATTACCTTATAATATGTGCATCATGCATTCAGACACACTAAGTTATCATTCATTACATTCAAAATTTTCTTTACTTTCATTTTTGTTGTATTTCTATCAATGTCTAAACTTACACTAATTCTTGATAATTTGTACATATTTTCACTGTAATTAGAATAAGTACTAATTCTTGATCATTTGTACGTATTTATATCGATGTGGCTTGGTGTCCCTATTAACACAGATATAATCGGTTGAGTTATTTCAACTCTGATCATTTAGGAAACAATCATCACCTCCATCTTTTCTCTTCAGGAAACAAAATCCCATTTTTGATGCCTAAATCACAAATTACCACGATACCATATCAAAAGCAAAGCAAATTAAACCAAATCACCCACATTTTTTATGCCTAAATCTCACCAAATGTACGCTCAATATTGAACTAAAACCTATTGTTAGTTTGAGTACTTTTGGTTTTGCAAGAGAGGAGAATGTGCGTTATTTAGAAGTTTGCTTTGGCTTTTCTTTTACTGTTTCTACGGGTTAGTTTGTTATTGTGTTTATTGAATTGTGATTTCAATACTCGTATAAATTTGTAATTCATGAGCTTAATCTCTTAACTTATGTTTTGATAAGTTTAGTCTTACAGTGCCTTCTTAGTCTTATTCTTCCGGGTCTTCCTACACCTACTTTTGTGCACTGCTTGTTATTATGTCAATTGAACTCCTGGTAATTGAGGTGCTGGGATTAGTGGGATTAGTGTTGCTTCTTCGGTTGACCTTCTTGTGCAATAGGTGGTGCTTCTCCCATAGAGAATTAAAGAAAGCTTGATTTGTATTGAGTGTATTTGCTAAAGATTTACATGTTACTTTCATAGCCAAATAAGATAAGTAAATAATTATAAAAAAAATGTATAATGATACAGACAAGGAAGTATGGGATTGAATTTGATTGAGCACCTGGTTCTTTAACTCTCTATATGGTATCATAACTTCTTGGACGGTTTAGAATCAGAGGGCACAATGTCTTCGAGGCTGTGAATTTCAAGAACATCTTGAAATTGAGACCGCCAACTAAGGTAATTGTTGCGACCCATAGGAGTGGTGATCATATTGGAGATATTGAAGGATGTAGGAAGGGTTGAGGTGGCCATGACAAGGGAAAAGCGGGAAAGAAAACGCAGAAGTAAGGTACAGAATTGAAAGGCGAGCGTTAGCTCTTCTGGAAGGATGATACCATATAGAGAATTAAAGAAAGCTTGATTTGTATTGAGTGTAACGCTTTGTTATATGTACAGATTTACATGTTGACTGTTGTAGTAGGTAAACAAATACAATAAATGAGATAAGTAAATACACAGACAAGGATTTATGGGATTGAATTTGATTGAGCAACAATGGTGGTGTGATTTGTAATATTCTTGTCAGCTTCTTCTGTGGCTTCAACTTCCATCTCATTACCGAAGACACAGACAACACAGTTTCGATCAAGAAAGAAAGATTCTATACCAAGAACTGTATCATTTCAAGAATGAACTTACAAAATGTAAGAAAAAGAAATGGAACAATTGTAAATTGTAATGGTACCAAGAATTGTCGGATGTTGGTTCTATCGTTTCTTCTCAAAATGAATTGTCAGGTTGAAAGCAGACGCATAAATCATAGCAGTACGTACTTACCAACACCGAATTGGTACCTTATCAACGAAAATTCTTGGCGCTTCATCCTTTTCATAAGCTACATCCTCAATTTTATGGACCATTTGAGATTATTGCTAAAGTGGGACGTGTAGCTTACAAGTTGAAGCTACAGAGCCATTCAATCGCTGGTTGGTTGGCAATCAGTTAGAGTCGATCTTCTGGTGGTTGAGCAGAGCTTGCTCAAAATTCAAAAGCCAATTCTTGTTCTTGTCTTTCATAAATCTCAGCAAGTTAGGGTTAAGGTAGATTTGGTTCTATCACAATTTTAGTCATGTCGTTACTGATTTTTTTTTTTTTAGCAAGTCGCTGAGGCAAAAGCAATTAAAGGGATGAAATGAATGAGATATATAAGAATTGTCTTGTAGCGAAAATATCCCAACCAACAGCGCAGCGAGCACTCGCACAGCAGGGATAAGCCACTTTATCCTCTGGTGGGAAAAACACAGAAGAAGAAGGTGATGAGTAGCATGGCGGCTTTCAGTCCGTTTTTGTCACCCAACAGTTTCACTCCTCTCTCTGGTACTGCTAAACACACAGACTACCATTCATCTTCTTCTTGTTTGAGTAGGTTGCTGCAGCAGCACTTGTGCAAAACTACTACCACTAGTACTAGTAACAACAGCAAGAAGAGAGAATTCCCAGCTGCGTCAGTGGCGGCTTCAAGTTCAATTTCTTTCCCCTACCAACCACCTATCAACGTGGACTACTTGGAGCAAGAGTTCAGCGGCCATGGAGTAGTCTTCAAGGCCATTGGCGACAGCTGTGTGGCTAAGATGGAACTGGACAATGGAAGTAAAGCCATCATGATGCTCCCAAGTGGCCTTATCACCTCCTACAAGGCTTCCATGTGGCATGGCGGCACTGTCGAGCTGCTGCAGTCTTCAGTCTCCGGATCGGAGGAGAATGGTGTCGGCGGTGCCGCTGCCGCCATAGCCATTCAAGGAGGGGTGTCTTTAGCCTTTGACTGTTCGAGTGAGGTGGGTCAACAAGTTCCTTGGTCGCCGACTAACTGGGCTCTTCATCAAATTACAGGGAATCCTCAGGATCACATTCAGGTTCCTTTTTCTAAACTATTTTTCTTTAACAGTACTAGCTAGTTGCAAACTTAATCACATTGTAGTGGATAAGGTCGTCGAACTACTTAAAAGCAAAGTTCTCGTATCAAAGTTGTGTTGCCGGGCAAATGCTTAAATTGAACCAAGATAAAATCTATTCTAGAGACTCTAGACCACATATTCAGACAATAATCGAACTTAGTCAATTGCCTAAATTCACAGTTTGCAACATAAACATCTTATGTTACGGAAGATTCTAGCAAAAGAAAATTTCTAATGTATATTTAGAACAAAATGCATTGGCCATTGGATCACCATATACCATTTGCTTGAAACTAAGTAATTGAGAAAGAGACAATCTGCGTATAGAGGAGTAGATAGTAGTTAATTCTAATTTCCTGATCAATCAAGCATTTGATTTCAGGTAGAACTGATTAGCACAGATTCAGAGGACATGATTGAAATCAAATACATTATCACTCTCAAACAAGATGTCTTAATCTCAGAGATTGTAGTCTCTAATTCTACATCTTCGTCGCTCCAACTAACCGGCTCTATTTTAAGTCATCTGACGGTAAGCTCACCGGATGCAACTTATGCTATTGGTTTGGAAAGATCAGATTTCTTTACCAGGTTGCCAATTTTGTCAAGTTTTGGTATCATTCCTCCCGACTTTGGCATGAAAAATGAAGCTCAGATCAGCAAACTATGGCAGCAAATGGCTGGCTGGGGCCCAAATAATCAAAATGATGGCAAACAAGCAGATACAAATCAGAGAGGAAATAATGAAGAAGAAATGGAGGGTGAAGAAGATGACAACTATAAGCATTTAAGAGAGCAAATGAGCCGAATATACACCAGTGCCCCTACCGACTTCACAATCATTGACAGGGTACTTTCCTCCTATATTTCACTTACAAATTCAGGTTTTGGTAGCAAATTCAGATATTTGTGAATTGTGATGGAACAGGGTAGAAGAAACTCAGTGGTAGTAGGAAGAGATGGGTTTGATGAACTATACATGTTCAGTCCTGGCTCGAGCCATGAAGACTATGGCAAGTATGCTTATATATGTGTTGGCCAATCTGCCGTGCTAAAACCAATAATTGTACATCCTAATGAATCATGGAGGGGCGGACAGCGCTTATACAACCCCAATCTCTAATTTCTCAGCACATGACTCAGCTCTTATCTTCTAAGCTTCGGTGTACCAAGCATACAAAAGAATATAACTTTTATGATATGAGATTGTGTACAAAAAAGATTAAAGTAGCTCGAGTATGTTGTTTGAACTTTGAAACTCCAATTCATCTCAGCATGTGAAAGATTACAACTTTCAAACATGAAAGAAGGTTCTTGCCACAAAGATACATGCTCGTTTAAAAAAACCACAATTTCAAAAGCAAGGATGAACATTTCCTCAAGAACACAAATTGTTCGATTCTCTTCAGTACATCGACCATTCACAACTGGTTGTGATGCTTAAATTCTAGTGCTACAGAACATACAGAGATGCTACTGTCTACTACCATTGTTCACTTAATCAAAAGAAATTGATCCATCAGAATGAGAAGACTAACATGGAAGCGAGTACATTAAGTTGGAACTAGATAATAACCTTCATGCCCTTCGCCGTGGTCATTAATCCAAAGTAGTGGCATAGCTACTGCAAGTAGTGTGAAAGAAAGACCACAAAACAACTTAACAGCAGCCTTTCGATAGGGATTTTTTATGCCAGCCTTTTGAGCTACTGTTTGGTTTTCTGGAACCACCTCATGAGATATTTCATTTTCTGGAACCACCTCATGAGGCACCTGAACATCAGCATCCCCTGGAATGCCATCTGTTGATGACACTGATTCAGGACCACCTTCGAACTGCTCACTGCCACCATAGAAGCTACCATGCTCCCCGTCATCATAGTTTGCACCATGTGAATAACCATCTTGATCATATCTGACATTTGGGCTCCAATCACATTCGTTCATGGATAAACTTCTAAATCTTCTAGCTAGTTTTTCGGAGAACTTTGAGTTGGCATTATTTGGTTCCTGAAGAGAGTGAACAAGTCTTCTCGGAGTATTGAAGATGATGTTGTCCACGTTGATTGGAGTGCGAGACCTCTGAAGCACAGGAGAGGCAATATTGGTCAACTTCAATACCATAATATGCAATACCAATACCATCCCAAGATTAACAACATCAAAGAAAATCATAAGATTGGCAGATTTTAATAAAAGTTCAGTAGACAGCAAAAGTAAGAAATCAGAGCAGGAAGCAGGAGATTATAAGAGATTCACTGGACAAACAACTTAAGCTGTTTGGGATAAAGGTAACCAACCAATTTCATTATGGAATCAGAGAAGGATATTATGAGTTTGAATCCCTACAATTTCCTCCTCTCAACATAAGTTGAATTCCAAATGTTGGGCTCTAATGGTGAGGAGAGAACCACGTGTGAGGAGTGTCAGAACATAAAACAAGTGTCTGTTCATGTCCTTGGCTTAAGTTTTTGGGATATAGATAACGCAACAAACTTTATCGACTATTACATACCATGCCATTCCAAGATTGACACTCTTTTATGGAATGCTAAGCTTTTCAGCAGAGACAATTTCCCAAAGAGTTAGACATGGTAAGTACTTTGGGCAATCATTACTACAATTACAATCCAGCAAGCAATTTATTCACTTTGTTGCTGCATTACTTTCAGTTAAAGTTTTGACCCATGCTCCCAAAGTTAGTTGGATAACTACTTTTACCACCGTCACAATCAAATCAGCAATTGTAACTTCAAAATAAAAAGAAGTAAAGACAATAGATTTCTACCATATATACAACAGTACATGTGAAACTCACCCGAGGACTAGTTGTGGTGCTTCTTGATACTACATTTCTAGGATTTCTTTGCTGGAACCCTGTAAATTCCTCATTGCAATCTCCATCGCATTTCATGAATTCATTACTCCCAGAGTTACCTGGAAATCCATTCGCAAAGGCACTACCCTGAGCAATCTCCGAGAATAAACCATCCTTGAGAGACACATCGACTCCTCCATTCTCATGACTCCAAAGCTTCCGGTTTATGCTCCTACAATCATAAATTGAGTTTTGGGTAGCCTGACTACTCATTGTTACAGGTGAGTCAACAAATGAGTCATATTCAGCAAAGGAATCCAGAGTCTGTGATTCAGGTGACACTGATGCAGGAGACTGATCACCTCCACTTGATAAGTTTCGCCTCCTGCTATGGTCTCTCCTACTAAAATTTGACCCACAGGCTGAACCAGGAGCCTTTTCAAGTTTTGAACCTTTATCTGCAGCTATTCTCCTTGCAGTTTGCAGAGCTTCAAAGGCAGCCCCTGAGACGTAAGCCATCTGATCAGACTGACACTTCTCCATTTCTTGAATTATCAACTCAATCTCAGAGATAATGCTCCAAGGATCCAGGCACTTCATCAAGAAATTCACCATTTGAATAGCTGACAACCGTTTCTGAGAATTCCCCTCCGCTACACCAGTATTCAATATCCGGATTCCAGCTTGTATCAACAACCTAGCATATGGTTCAACAATTAATGCATTACGCTTTGCAAGAGCCATAACCAGACCCATGTGTGCATTTGTCTGAGTGGACTTCTCCTCCAAAGCTCCAGAAACATTCTGACAGACCCTATTGACCATCTCATCAGAAGCAAAACGCCAATTATCGGAGTCAACAAGAGCCCTTAAGCAAAGGGCAGCTCCAGAAGTCAAGCTCTCTTGAGAACCCAAGAGGGAATCTGAGAGAGGAGTGCAGAGTGAATGAATAATGTGCCTCTTCTTGTCTTCAGGGGTGGTTGGGTCAATCCCATATCGAGCAATAGCTGGGACGACCTTTGAGCATGCCTGTTGAAGAGGGAAAGACCCCGCACTCGAAGCCAAGGTCTTGATTATGGTGGCCATGATGCTGTTTATTAGAGGGACTATTTTGACACCGTGAACACGAGCAAGAACTTCATAGAGCGAAATGGTGCATTCTCCAGACAAAGAACCAGTTTCTTTAGTCTGAGAAACTTGAGCAAGAAACATGGGGATTGCCTTGGAGTCCAAATCTTTCACATAGGATTTGAGTGCTTTCATTGCTGATCTACGACTATCAGCATCTTTATCAAGATTTTCCAACTCACGCCGCAGTATCGGGCTTAAACTTCTACCCATTGTTGGCCTGCATCCAATTCAAGAAAAGAGTTTATTGAAATGATTAATGCCTAACAAAATGGTTTCATGAGATGGGTTTTTCTAGCTTTGCAAGAGAAACGCAGAATCAAACGCACAACCATGAAAGTCCAAGACTTTGGAAATGTCTGAAACTTTCCCAAATCACAAGAATTGGAAAAGTATGAGGTTTTGAGCATTTGGACGGCAATAATAACCACAAATGTCAAAACTTTTCTGGATCTCTTAGTCCTAAATGTCAAAAATTCCAAAATTGAGGACAAAAGCTGGTTTCTTTCCTCACATTTTGCATAGAAATCAAACAGATAAATACTCGTTCGCTGCAGAAAACGATAAAAGGTATATATTTTGTAGATAAAATTGATAGGGCAAAGCAGCACAAGAACTCAACATAGCAAATGGGTTTCTCAGATTTACCATTAACAAACATAAAAGATCCAAAAAAAAAAAAAAAGTGAAATTTAAGAAAGTAGTGCTAGTGCCTTTAACATCAAGAACTGAGAAATACCTTCAAAGCTGCTCTCTCCTGATGCTTGGGTTTTGACTCTGAGCTGAAACGGAGGTTTCTGAGAGAGAGAGAGAGAGAGAGGTTTGGAACTTGAGAATTTGTAATTTGAGGGGTTGAATAAGAATTCGTGTATTAAGCGTATTATAGGGAGGGCTGTATGTATTGATGAGCTTTCCCTTTCTGGCAGTACACAGTTTGAGAGAGAGAGGCCAGAATTTCAAATCTTCCTTGTAAATTCCACCGCTCTCCCTTCTCCACTGGATCACACAATGAAACTTTCCTTTTAGACGAAAATGCCCCTCTTTTTAATTGACTTTTTACAAAGGCCTTCTTCATGTTGCCTTGGGAATTGGATTGCCCCTTTTCTAAGTTTTAGTGTATAATAAACCCTTTGAATTTGATAATAAGTGGTGATCAAATATCCACCCTTGATTTTGAATCTACATAAGTTTTGAACTTATTTTTTCTTAATTGTTATTTTTTAATAGGAATGGATATTCAACTTCAGAAATAATAAAAGCAAGAAAAGAAATACTTTAAAAAAAAGTATTTTTAATAAAGAGATGAAAATTTTACATTTGTAAAATATGTATGTATAAGTTATATTTTTGTTTTTTTTCTATCAAATAATATAAGTTATACTTTAATAAAGGGTATAAATTCATGATTACGTGTCATTTTACATGAAAAATTAGAATATGACTCAAATAATGTAAAAGAGTCAAAATAATATCTTTCATTTTTTCTCTCTCCCGTCCCTTTTCTTTGGTCGAATTGTTCTCTCGTCTTCTAGACAGACACATAGATATGTCCAAATTACACGTTGCAAGGATATAATTAATGAATAAGGTCTTAGAGTTTCAACATCCCAAGGACCGAGAAACGATGGAAATCCCAAGGCTGATTTGGTCATTCGCATTCAACTATATCCGGGAATCATGGCGGGGAACTACTGTATTTTTTAGATCATACCAAATGGGTCATTTCCCGCTCTGCTTTCCCTCTCAATATTGGAATGACTCTAATACCCCATCATCCGATCATGACTTAAATGTCATGGGTACACCACATACATAATTTACGTGTCAAATTGCTAATAATAAAAAGACATGTGTAAATTTTCATCACCTTAGCGTTGTATTATTGATAATGAAAGCCGCAATAACTGTATACTTATGTAAATTACGCTTTTAATAAGTAGAGAAATAATAGACCATAGATCCTTAAACACTAGTTTATCGTAGCTAGCAGCCTGGCCCAGCAAAAACTAAAAACCACATATATCTAAAATAGTAGAACGGCAAAAATAGTGACATGTTTACAAGCTCGGGATAAAAGTAGAGCTCATGGATACGAGGATTTCTTCATTGAGGAAGTCATCTCTCCAAATAAAGAAGAAAGAAGTTGCAGTTTTTTCAGGATCTACATCTGGCATCGTTTTTTCTACAGCGGAAAATTCTGTGTTTTCACTCAGATTTCGATTTCCAAATAGTTATAATCTTTACCCAATAAAAAGCAATCAAATTTGCGCTTGAAATGAGGAGAGTAGAGGGGAAGTTGTTAGATAAGGATGGCATAGAAATAGATACGTGTAAGCATCTGAGTAAGCTCACCATCATCACTATATTACAATCCTCACCAACCTTACGGATTATAGTCATAGACTCATAACCTTCTCCCCGCTCTTTCCAGGCTAAATGATACTGAAACAACAACCATGTATAATTCATTAAAAGCAACTTAGGCCGTGCGAAAGATATCACTGTTGACTCTGTGGTTGTAGTCTGCATGTTGGACAGTACCACTTTCCCTTGAATCTTGTCTCGGGTGTCAACCCAACACATGCGTAATGGAACCATTCACCTCCTTGGCACTGTCAATAAACACAATAAATACCAAACTTCATACGATTAACCTTGCACATATTTATTTTTCTACATCCAATGACAACCAATATTGTTTTTTGGTCAAACCAGTAAAAGGTTATGCAACTAGCAAAACAAAAACCAGATTTCTCATAGTTACAAGTTGTAAATCTATAAAGTGGATACTTAACTGATATGGATTTGCTGTCAACTTTTTCCACTAAAAGCATGTAGAAAGTGATTACAAAGATACTGCTGAAAGAGTTACAACTATGAGCGGATCTGCCACCCCGAATTTTCAGGGTTCTCTATGCACTATGATTCTTTAAGAGTGCATATGAATTCCAGCTCATTTATTATTATGCTATTACATAGGCACAAAACTCAACCCGCTCGCTTAATGTTTGGATGAAGGACTTCTAATTCCTAAGCATTTAGTCAAATGAAAAAGAAATGGATCACAAAAAGTTTGATAAGAGGAATTAGAAAATTCCCCCCACATGAGCATTACAAAGACATGTAAGAGGGATTTGCAAATCCCTCTCACATTACCTTTTGTAATGCTCATGTGGTACATTTCTAATCCCTCCTATCCAAATATTTGTGCCCCAGTTCTTCCTCAATATGCCTAAGTCCTTGGAATTTGGAAGTTCCTTACCCAAACATACACTAAGTTCCCTTAAATTGACACTCATGAAATGAAGAATGTTGAGAAAATTAATGCAAAGGATCCAACTATTGATATTTTGTAGTCTATTGCTAATATTTGTTGCTGCAGATGATTCTACTATCGAACTTCTAATTTAATGAACAGATGCATTCCATCCAAAAGAAGCACATAAAAGGTAATTGACCAGATAATGAGAGGGAAGAAGAAATTAAACAAAAATGAAGCCATAAGGACTTACATTTTCATTGTCACAGGCAATCATATCTCCAAAAGAGACCTGAAGAATGATGATAATTCCTTTAGTTCAAAATATACAGCAGACATTTTCAAAATAACTGAAGAAACTGTAAAAATGAGGTGCCAAAGAGTAGCTCAAATTGAAAATAACTAAATTTCAGGCATAACCTGATGGCAAACGCAGTAGGTAGGTTCATTTGGATCAATGGGTTGCTCAGCATCAATGGGGACAGCATAATCCTTTTTATGGCTCCCTGGGGGAGGCATGAGCTCAAAGTCCCTATCGCGCTCTCGATCCCAGTCCCTATCCCTATAATCAAGCCTTTTTGATTGAGGTGTTATATAAATAGGCTTGCGTTTTTCATTTTTAGGAACAATAGGTAATGGAGGAAGAACTGCTGGTTCATCTGGTGCTATTTTACCTTCTGAGAGAATCAGAAAGCACATAATTTAGTAGAAGTAGTTTATAAATGTTATGATTCATTGATTTCAATATATGCATCCTCAAAACAACATAAGTGCTGCCTGAATTGGCTGATATGACCAAAAACAAACACTAAGATATCTGGCAGTCTAGACTTTCACAAACCACTGTACCTTGCTTCAAATCTTCTGCAAAGTGATTCAGATCCTCATCCAATCGTTTTACATGACTATCTATCTGATACAAACAAAAGATGTCAAATTTCTGTAAGTTCCAATCATAAAAGGTTCAAAAATTCCAAAACATTTGAACTTGCAATTAAGGGAATTGTTAATGGCACTCCAACAATCTCATTTTGCACTCCAAACTTTCTATAATTAGAAAGAAAAATACACTTATGAGGAGTGCAGAATGAGATTTTTGGAGTGCTAATAATAGTTCCCGCAATTAAAATCCCATAATACAGTTACACCAATTAAAATCCCAAATTTTAACAGCAGCCCATTTGACTACTAGACAAAATACGAAGAAACGCATCGGATTCAGCGTGCCAACTACAATGCAGTAAAAGAAAAGGCTCAGCTTACCAGGTCATAAGCTTGTTGTGCCAACAAAACCTTCTCAGTACATAGACTCAACGCACTATCCTGATTCGATTCGATTTCTTTCCGCATTTTCTCAATAGCGGCTTCATCTTCTTCAATGTTGTTATAATTATTGTTCCATTTCTTTGAGCTCTGTGAAGACAATCCCAGACAGTACTTAGTCTGCTGCCTCGTCTGGTGTATCATGGCTTTTTCCCAAACACAAAAATTTCATCCACTTATCAGAACTTTGAATCGTAAAAGCACCAAAACCAAAAACCCTAAAAATTAAAAAACTGAAAGCGTTGGTCGAATTGAATAAGCGTGGCCTTACATTGAGAGCGTTCGTCGAGTTCTCGGATGGTGTTGAGGAGCCTCTGGAGCTCAGCAGGCAATGTGTTTGCGTCTTTGGAAACCAAAATTCCCAAAAATCAAATTTACACGAGATTCAATTCGAATTTATTTCAAATTCAAGTCAAATTAACCAAAACCCAATTGAGGGATCGAAACATAAGCTTACATTCAAGATAGTCGTCGACGTACACTCCGGTCCTTGCAATTGCCATCGCTGCAAGTTGGGGATTTTTTCTATCTAGGGTTTCTCTCAAAATTCTTGTTCTACGGGATGAAATACACAAGCCGTGTCGTTTTGGTTAAAACCTTAAGGATGCGTTTGGCACGTGGGAGATCCATAGAGGATGGAGGATTAGTTTTTCCTCTCTTATTACAAAATTTTGGATACTAATAATTACCCTCCCAAAATATTTAAAAATTAGTTAGACTCGTAGTAACTCTTCATATTTAACTCTTTTTTCCAATTTTATCTCTATTAAAAAATAAAAATACTAATTTATCTCTTTATTCTCTCATCTTTGCCAAGCATGGTAATATGGTAATAGGAATATATATTTCCCACTCTCTAAGGAAAAGCATGGAGCTTTATTTTCCATGAATTTTGTTTTCTTGTACCAAAGGCACCACAACAAAATGAAATAACAAAGCATAAATAACAATCTTTGCAAAAGTTCAATTAAAAATAAAATTATTTAGTTAGTCAAATGGTAATAAATAAATGAACCGCTCGTAATATTTCAATACCTATTATATATTGATTAAACAATTTCTACTTTTATTAGTTTTTTACATATATGATTTTCACAATATAATATTACGATTCGAATCGTAATTATGAGTTTTGGCGAACTAATTACTAACTATATTTGTGTAGAAAATTTGTGCAACTAAATCTCATTGATTAGAAAACACTTCACGTGGCGTGTTATCTCAAGAGTTATTATAAAAATACATAGCACACGTCACCACCACGTATGATTCGTCTCTGTCACTGTCACGTACATCAACATATTAATATTTGAGATGTCTAACTTCAGTATTTCGAGTATTCTTATGTAAGTGCTGACGCATCATCCTCACCAAATAATAATATATCTCCATAAGCACCACCTCAGATCTCCAGTCCATCAAGTCATGGCTGCACAAACTCCTACCAGAGAAGCTGAACACTACTCTTCTTCTTCCCCTTCCCCTTCCCTGCCCCTCAACGGCCGCGTAGCCATCGTAACCGGCGGTTCGCGCGGTATCGGCCGTGCCATTGCAGCTCACCTCCACTCCCTCGGCGCAAAGGTCGTCGTCAATTACGCTTCATCAAACTCAGCGCAAGCAGATCAATTAGTCTCCGAGCTCAACCAGACAACCCCAAAATCGCAAGCGATTGCCGTCCGAGCAGACATCTCGGACCCGGACCAGGTGAAGCAGCTCTTCGACAAAGCCGAGCAAGAATTCGGGACCCAACTCCACATCGTCGTGAACAGCGCGGGCGCTTTGGATCCCAAATATCCTAGCGTGGCCAATACGGCGGTGGAGGACTGGGACAACACATTCAATGTCAACACCAAGGGGGCGTTTTTGGTTTCTAGGGAAGCGGCGAATAGGGTTACGCGCGGCGGCGGTGGGAGAATTATTATGATTACATCGTCCGTCGTCGGGCGGCTTCCGCCTGGGTACGCAGCCTACGCGGCCTCCAAGACGGCGGTGGAGACGATGGTAAAGATTTTGGCCAAGGAGCTCAAGGGCACCGGAATAACTGCCAATTGCGTTGCGCCGGGGCCGGTGGCGACGGAGATGTTCTTTGCCGGGAAGAGTGAGGAGATGGTTAAGGGGATTGAGGATGCTTGCCCTCTGGGTCGATTGGGCGAGCCCAAGGATGTGTGTGGGATTGTGGGGTTTTTAGCGGCGGATGCTGGGGAGTGGGTCAACGGCCAGGTCATTCGGATCAACGGTGGATTTGTCATTTGATCAACTCTAGCATTTTGTGTGTATTTGCTGTTTGTCTTGTGATTTCAATATTTCGGAATCAGATTCGTTGTTGTGATTCCGATTTCGATAACACGCTATTTTAAATTTGTATCAATGTTGACGGGGGTCATACATACATAAGTTGTAAATATTTTAAGAGTCCTAAACCATAATACCTGTATATAGAAATATAACTTCCTTAAAATCATAAAAAAATTTGGCCCCAACTTGGAATCAGTTGTGTATTACTCTTCCTGGAGCTGAAAGTGGTCTAATGACTCGTGTAAAAGTGTTTTTAAAATGATTGAAAGCGTTGTTAGTGAAATTGCTTTTTGATTCCGAAAGCATTTTAAGTGCTTTTTGAAGAAACACTTAAAGTGCTTTTTCAAGATTTACTTGAATTTTTACTAATGAATAGTTTCAAAAATATTTTCAACAAAACGTTTTCAGTCATTATAAAAGCTGTATAAACAAACACTAAGTCATTTGGACTGTTTGATGTCATAGACTTCAAACCAAAAGAACACCCACGAATTCTCTGGTTGGAGGAAGACAATACTCGATGGGCGGGGTAAGTTGCAAAGTATCTGCTTGTATGATGATTTTGACTATATCGCTATATCAAGGAGCCGTCGAATTCGGGGATGCCCTTTTAGTTTGAAGTTTTATGACATTAAATTGTCCCATGGACTCGGACCATCTTTGGTTGGTCAACCCGTACACGGTTCAGTCCGTGAAAGCTAGTCCAATAAAGTAGCTCCAACACATAACAAATAGGCAAGTGTTATAAACAGGCAAAATAGAGAGAAATACTCTTAGGCCTCGTTTGGTATCTCGGACTGTACTGACTATTTCTGTCGGATAGGATAAACAGCCACCGGATAGTGCTGACTAAATTAGTCAGACGTTTGGTGCAATATCGGACTAATAACTGTATTATTTATACTGTGTTTTGTATTGTACCGGATAAGACGACTTTGAATTATTATTATTTTTAAGAAAAAATAAATGATTAATGAAAAGAAAAAAAAGGAAAAAAAACAAATTTTTTTCAGGTATTTAAAAATTCACAACCACCAAATACATCAAATAAAAAAACAAGATTTTGTTTGTCATTTTGAACTTTGAAATTGCATTTCCAAATTATCCTTTATTTAAACCAAATTACTTAAAATAAAAAAATAAAAAATAAAAAAAAATAAAAAAACTAACTCACTCCTCTCTTCCCCAGATCTTCTCCACCGCACTGCCCCCCTCACTTTCCAAATCCAAATCTCTGAGACCCAATTCTATCTCTACTAAGTTTCTATGACATTCAGACAAAAAAAGATCCACTGAATTAGAAAACTTAAACTCCGAAACGAAAAGAGATCCACATAAATTAGAACTTGCAGATCATAATTCAAATCATACAAATTGTCAAACAGGTACAGTGCCATATCTCCATAGACATCTATCTAGCGCTAGCTACATCAAATCTTTAATCACAAGAATGAACACCTTCTTAGAGCAGCATGGAAGCAAGAAGGATCAAACGGATTTGCAATTTCCCATGGAATCTTAGGCAACTCTGAACTCCATCAGATACAGGAAACCCATAATTAGGCATTTCTTGAAGTTCTTCAACATGGGTTGCAATCTCCACAAAGCACTGGCGCATATCATCAAGACGAAAGCAACGAAGACAGCGGGGGCAGATGCACCAAGACGGAGGCAAGGAAGACAGCGAGGGCAGATGCACCAAGACGGAGGCAAGGAAGACAGCGGGGGCGAGTCGGACTAATAATACGAAGCTTTTGGGCGGTATAATTAGGCGGGCGTGAGGAGTATTAAAGTGGTGGGGCCGGATAATTTAGTCTGGGTACTATTTAATACATTAGTACACCAAACACCTGGCATCGTACTATTAATACTATCCAATGCTATATACGACTGTTTGGGCCCAAAATAATAGTTTGGGCCGAGGGTAGGATCACTCTCGGCCCAGGAGGCCGGGCAGCAAAAGGGCCATGGATCGGTCAACCCGTAGGAGTCCAAACCTAGAGCGGTTAGGACAAGTCCTAGTGCAATGAGGAGTCTCGACGGGATCGGATATCCAGAAAACGAATCCAGCTTAGCTAAGGACTAGATTCATAGTCCTAGTAAATATAGGACTGGTCGAGGTGATCCGGAGAGGGAAACCTAGTCCGAGTAGGATTTAAACTCGGACTCAAGGATCAGTACTATAAATAGGGGACGCTGTGCATCAGGAAGGCCCCTTCAATTCAACACACAAAATTTCCCTGCGCAAATTCTCACAACTTGTGATTTTTCTTTTTCCTTTTCCGCTGACACATCTTCCGTTGGCATCAACAGCACTGTGGAAGCAACCGGTGATATCTTAAGTCGGCATAGATAGCTCTGTCACCGTAGAGTCAGTCGGTCTCGCAGTATCTTCCGTTGGCATCAACAGCACTGCGGCGAGAACGATTGATTACCTATCCAAGTCTCGGTCGAGAAGGGTCTCTAAATCCTTATTGGTCGAGGTCATCTCATCAGCCTTCTCGGCGAAGTGAGGTGTTACAGTTATTACATTCGGCACATTGAAAGCCGAATTTGATATTGAACTTCGTAAGAATAGTAACCTTGTCTTCAGGTTCGAGAGCCCAAGAGGCCGAGACGTGTTCCTTTCTCGGCCGCAATCGCAAGACGCAGAAGTCAGTAGCGCGACCCAACGCAACATCAACAAATTTACTCCTCGGCCGAGCTCGGCCGACGAGTTGGCACGCCCCGCATTCACCGAATGACGTAGTTAGCTCATTAATTACTCGGCCTGCGCGCCACGTAGGCTTTGTAGTTTCTAGGGTCAACATTTTGGCACGCCCAGTGGGACCCAGTGCTAAACTACGAAGTTCATGCCAATTGAAACACGGTAAAAAAGAAAACAGCTATGGGAAAGTCGACAGCCGATTTGCCGAGTCAGAGCATAGGACAGAGTGTGCCACAGGAGCAGAATCCCCTTAGCGCTGCGACACCTGAGTCCACGAGCGCGACTCGCCGAGAGAGAGAAGTTAATCTCGGCGGTCAACTCCGTGGCTTAGAGATCCCTAACAGAAACACATGCGTTCTCAATGAAAGGATAATAGAGGAGTGTGACGAGGATGGTGGTGAAGGATCTGACCCACCAACGAGGTCGTTTCTCCGAAAGCGACTGGACGAGCAGTCTCGGTCAGTCGAGCAGACGTTCAGTCGAGGCATTGACAAGCTGCATGACGCGATACTCAGTGCCAATGATCGACAAACCAAGCTGCTCGAAATGCTGGTTAGTAAAGTTGGTGGCAATAGGCCTTTCGAACTTCTCCAACATTGTCCACCAGGAAACAA